CGTCTCCTGTTAATCCCCAGCGGCATCAGTATCGTTTTCTCTCTGTTTATCTTTAACCCCGAGATCGCAGCAAAGTCGTCCATCAGGGACTTCGCCTTGACCACCTGCTCCTTTCCTTTCAGCACCAGTGTAGTATCGTCAGCATAACCGACATATGCCAACTCCCCAGCCACTCCCCTTTTCCTTACTCCAAGCCCTCTCCTCTCCACCTCCTGGCAGAGTGGCTCGACGGCGCAGAGAAACAGGTACGGTGCGAGCGGGCACCCCTGCCGCACTCCCTTGAGCATCTCCACTCGATCCCCCAACCAGCCGTTGAGTAGGAGCCTCGTGGCAGCACCCTCGTGTAGACCCTTCACCCACTTTATAAATTTATCGGGGAAACCCATGTCCCTCAGTGTCGTGAACAGGTACTCTCGAAACACTGAGTCGTACGCCTTTTGAAAATCCACAAGAAGAAGCAGCCAGTCCTCATCACCTTCCGCCGCTGCATCAATCACGTCTGCTACCAGTGAAACCGCTTCCTTCAAGCTTCTGCCGGGGAGGAAGCCGAACTGGTTCGGGGAGATCACCCGCGGTAAGGCCACTTTAATCCTATTTGCCAGCACCTTCGCGAGCAGCTTGTAGAAAAAACTCAGCAGAGTAATCGGGCGGTAGTTGCCTAACGACTCCTTGTCGCCCTTTTTGTGCAGGAGAATTGTGACTGCAGTAGTGAAAGCTTCCGAGAGCTCCGCCGACAGCTCGAACGCTCGTATCTCCTTCAGCACCGCCGGCCCCAGCAGGTCCCAGTTTCGCTCAAAAAACTCCTTCGGCAACCCATCCTGTCCAGGAGCTTTTCCTGGTGGGAGCCCTTTGAGCGCCGTCTTTACCTCCTGCTCCATCCACCCCCGGCTGAGGTGAGCCCTGTCAGAGTCCCGTAGAGTGCACCCCTCCTCTATCGGCCATGGTTCGGTAAGACTCTGCTGAAGAGGAGCCTCATACGCTTCCTTAAAATATGTTGATGCAGCCATCAGCACCTCTCTTGCGCCCTTATACTGCCGACCTTTGAAACACAGCTCACTAACCTCCGTCCTCGCCTTCCTTGATTTGACCAGGCCTGACAGGAAAGGTGTTGGCGTCTCACCCGCTAACTCTATCAGCACACCCGTCATGACCTGCAGCCGCTCCCTGTTGCTGTCATGGTAGAGTTTCAGCGCTACCTCATTTTTCACCAATTCCTCATATACATCCTGCACCGACGGATCAGCCATCACCCTCCAGCGTAGATTTTCCACTTTCCTCTCCAGATGAACAATCGTCGCCCTTATCCGCTTTCTCTCCTCCGCCACATGTGCCCTCATGCCTGCTCGCAGATTCGCAAGCAGCCGCTCCAAACCCTGATCAGCTCGACTCTCCTGCGCATCCAAGACTGCCGAGATTATATTCTTGGTTCCGTCACCGCTGGCCTGGGGTGCTTGCAATCTCCACAAGCCCGGGCCGTTCTCTTCCGACGAAGCCGACTTGAGCGACATCGCCACAGCGAACCAGTGATTTGTCAATCCGTATGGGACCATGGTATGTTTCGCTTCCACAACGCAGCTGAGAAGAGAGTGTGACACTAGGATCCTGTCTATCCTTGTGCTTGTGCGCGCAGATCTCGAGAAAAAAGGTATACTCCTTACGGCACGGGTGAAGACTGCGGAAAGCATCTTGCAGGTCCCACCCCGAACAGATCTGCAGAAGCCTCTGATTTTCTGCCGGCGTCCCCAACTTAGATGACTTGTCCAGCACAGTTTCTGCTACAATGTTGAGGTCCCCCAGAAGGACCGTGTGCGGCGCCATGGTCAGGTTCTGCACGAAAGGTGTGAGAACGTCGCGGAAGAAAACCCCTCTGTAGGTAGCCTGTGCCGGTAGGTAGACTGCTACTATTCAGCATCTCAAGTCCTGCCAAGCTATCATCAGGCTCAGGATCCGTCCCGAGTCATGTTTGACCACGTCTGTAAACCTCATTCCTTTCAGGAAGCCCAGAACCGCAACTCCACCAGCTCTCTGTGATGGCGACACCACAACCTGAGCCTCCGACCTGACTTGCGTCCAGAAGTTATGATCTGCCGGGACTCGAGTGTCTGTGAGGACCACAATGCTTGCTACCTTCTTTAACCAATTCGCGCATCTTTCTTGTTTCCCCGTACTGTCGAGCCCGTTGATGTTGAGCTCGAGGAAGGTAAGCTTGTTGCGTTTATCCATTTAACCACTCCATTTGGCCCCACAGCATCCACGGACGATTGAGCTTCATTGCAACGATACAGCCTGCTACAGCAAAGGACACCATAGCACCAAGTACACATCCTGCTATCCTGATCCTGATGGCTATCTCCTCCCCCATCCTTGGCAGGTGCGCTCCAACAGTATTGTCAGCTACTGCTTCGCCTGCTTTGTGACAAACTCCTTCTTGAAGGCCGGCAGCTTCTGAGAGTACTTGCTGACACGCGTGGTTGAACCTTCTTTTCGCAGACCCCCCTTTGCCTGGCAGATGCAATATGAGCCGTAGCTTGTTCGAAACGGTTCCCCTGCGCCTTCTCGCACGCCGTCTGGACACAGACCCAGTCCTCCCGGGACCCTCCAGTGGAGGTAAGAATGACCGCCGGGTCCTTCATAATCCGCTTCAGAGGGGCTGAAGCTTTGAGGGAAGCCGCTGTGAGAGGAGATAAGCAGGTGATCATCAGTAACATATAAATGCGAGATGAAAAAAGGTAAGCGAGTCGAGAGTAGAGACTGGACAAAGCCGCATCCTGTACCGTTGATCTCGTGAACCTTTTTCACAGTAAGGTTCCAGTTGGCGAAGTTCTCCTGGCGCACTGTAATATAATGGTCGTGGTAGCGAGACATGTGCTGGCCTCCGCAGAAATCGCAGGTGAGTGACGGGTAGTGGAGGAGGTACCGCTTCCCTGAAGACGGCTCTTCAACAAAATAACGCCAGCGGTATTCGTCAGCCACATGTGGGACCACCAGTCCGCGGATTCTGTCAGTGTCCAAACCAGTAACAGGATCAGTTGTCCGATGAAAGCCGAAACCACTGGCAAAGGTGCTCCTGCCGCGCTTAACCAACTTCGAAACCACCAGCAAGCGGCGGATCAGCTCCGCGGTAAGATCAGCCGGGACCCCTTTCAGCACCACTTCCTTAGCGGTTGGGTTGAGAACGCGTTCGCGCAGGAAACGCGCGTCTTTGGGGTGCTGCCAGGTAAGGCTGATGCAGTCCCCATTCACGCACTCATGATTGATAACCTGATTCCACACAAAGTTAGCGTCTCGGACATGGTTAAAAGTGACTTGCAAGCGGTCGAAATGTCTGCGCGAAAGATGCATCGCGGAGAGCTCCTGGTAAGTCGTGGTCTAGAGCGCGTCAGGCGAGAGCTGATCTTTCCAGTCATCAAGCAGTGCAGCAATCGTGACCGCTGCACGGGTCACCTCGGCTTTCCTGTCAAAAGGCACCAGCATCGTTAAGGAGAAACGCTTAAGTGCAATAACGCTACTGAGCGAATCCGGCTCGAGGTGTTCATCCGAGTCGTCGCTCAGGTAACCATCATCTCCGTCATCAGGAGCCATTTCTGACGCTGCATCATCGTCGCCTGATGCGTCATTGTCAGCAGTATTGTCGCCTCCGGCAGCAGCATCACCACTTTTCTCCGTCGGATCAAAAACAGGTGCGTCAGCATCAGCCACATCGTTGCCTGACGAGTTCCCTTGCCCATTGACGTTCTGAAGATCCAGCAAGTCTTCAAAAGGTCCGTTCACAGCAGCAGCCTTGTCCCTGATCTCCCCTCCAGCACCAGGTGTCGCAGGTAAGCCTTCATCCGTGATTTCATGGTCGTTCTACACACCCTTCTTGGTACGGCGTCCTTTCCGTGGCATCGTGCGATGATGAAAGAAGCTTGTCAGCCTGACAATGGCTGAAGGGAAAGCTGTTCTGAGCACAGACACTGTTATTGCTGGCCTTTTCATGTCTCTTATGCTTGAAAGCGAACCTCTGCAGGTCCAGGTTCGAGACCCATCCAGCCAACAGCGGTGTTGACGAAAATCCTTGGGAACTGGAAACACTGATATTGACGCGAGCTGGAAGTTTATCTTCCTGGTAGAACCAATGCTGATAGAATCGATGCTGATATAAGACTTGATAACAGCCTTGTGCAGAAACCTGACGGACTGATTGATGTAGCACAGACGATAGCCTGGAACTCAAGAAACAGTTGTTTAGGTTCCCGTTGTGAACACTTAAAACACACTGTCGCGTAGAGCTTAAAGCCACGCATCGAATGGTAACTTCAGATCCTTGATCAGGCAGGAAATTGATGCACATTGGACGTGTTAAAGCCGTCCGCCATGGCCATGGCTGCTGGTAGGCGGAGGGCATCTTGAGAGTCAGGCGAAAAATGAGCTACCACCAAGCACAACACGTACTTGAAGCGGTCTACCTAACATTTAGAATGGTTGTGTAGGATGTTCGCGAACACGTACTTTGGGTGGGACCCTCGCGCTCGTCGAAAGCTGGCGAGGGATCATATACCGTTCATGCTGTACTGTATAAACATTGCGAATCTCATGGCGTAGATTGACGATTGGCAGCACCCTTTCGGACACTAGCTCGTGCCAGGCGAAATGAAGTTTTTCGTGTTACATCTTGGTGGACGACAACTGGTGTACGGCTCGTTTCGAGAAGTAATCACCAGCTTACAATTGCTTGGGTTCCGTTACTAGCTCCAAATGTGGACAACACTGAGCTTGGATACTCCTGACCTGTTTAGCAGTTAAATATGTGAAGGAACACATATAAGAGCCTATTCATAGCCACTTGAAAGAGCAGATGCTCTTATACTCCTCCCTCTATTTTCATCCTCCTCTTCAATGTCCTCATCTTGCCTTGTCTCCAAGAATTCTGAAATAGCAACGCTCAGGATGGGATATACAGCTTGATGGGAGAACTCTCTTCGAAAAATGAGGCACCAACAATGAAAAGGTACTCATACCTTGCTTAATCAAGAAGTTCTCCAGTTCAGATGTTGAGAAGTCATCGCGATTCCGGAATGCCTCAAAACCAACAATTCTATGAAAAGCAACGGCATCCCTGCATGTGGAGACAGACGAAAAAATAGCTGAGCTCGATTACCAACACGTTAAATTCTCTCGTCACTGCTTCCACACCTCCAGCCCCTACATAGCACTCTCTCCCATCCCCTCATTCATTTTCACATAACCACGCGCTGGTAATGGATGTACGAACCTGAATAGAATCATGCATGGCAAAACTTTGATATTTAATCTGGAGACAAAGAATGGGCATTTCTGTTGCACACGTGAAACAAACGGGAGATAGAGAAAGAGAACATGAGTGAGGGTGGGCCCTGAAAGAGGGGAAATGAGGGAGCAGGTAGGGAGCTAACCGAGTGAGTGCAGAGTGGGGTGGCTTTGGGTTATTGGTGACAAAGGGTGAAAGAGTACACTGATAGGTTGTGTTGCTGCCACTTAAGTAAACATTCTAGTTTGGTCACCAAAGCCACGATTGTTTCCGGATTTCAGACAAACGGATGAACCCCAGCATTGTTGCTGTGCGCGCCAGAGAGGAGGGAAACTTTGCATGCACTTATCGTGACACTTACCTCTGCGTCGATCTTTACACTTACCTCTGCGTCGATCTTTACAAACTTGGCCTCCAGATGTTTCGGTGCCAGGATGGCCAGATGCTTGTCAACAACTCTGAAAGAGTCAAGGACAAACAATGACGATCAGTTGCGATGAGGTTGTGCAAAGAAGCGAATGCACGAGGGTGTCAGAACTCGACGTGATAGAAGTGGCATAGGACGTATTCGCTTGACTTAACCTCTGTTAGAAACTCTTCCTCCGTGATCTGAAATAAATTTTCAAAACGTTCAATATTCGCGTCAGTACTCTTACTACCCTGAGTCTGCTCAAGCACGTTTAAGCGTTCTCACCTCTCGGTATTCCCCGTGTCCCTTCTTTCTTAGGTTTTCGCGCTTCTTAGTCTCGGCCTGGCCCAAAGACGATGTGAACGCAACAAAGGATCCGGTCAGGTCTGAATTAACACTCTAACTCGCTGTACACTTGGTTGTCAACAACGGACGGAAAAACGTGAATGTGGCATTATCTTTACCATCAAGGATTGTAGCCGTTCTGCGTGTAGTTTTTCAAGCTCAGGGTCCTGCCGCACATGAGCAAAAGGACCAAAAGTCAAACGTTGGGAGCGCGATGTGACTACAAGGAGTTCTCCATCGTATGAGCTCTAGGAACTGCATTCTGCTTACATCAGCAAGGTCGTCGAGATCGAAATCATCCTCTACAGTTGCGGAAGCATTCTTCTGTGACAACGCTTTTTCCTGAAACGCGTGAAGGACAACATAATAAAAGCACACACACATGTTCAGCGTGCCTTTCTTTCGGCATACAGAAGGGAAGCAAAAGGAAGCTAACTCGCTGAGCATTTAATTCGGTAAGGTTAAAAGCGGAAAACTGGCACGCGCCACCTACTTTTTTTAGATCGCGTGCTGCTGCTGCGATAACGTTGCCGAACGCAATATTCCCGAGGCGTGACGCTACCTCTTTCGGATCCGTGCAATCCATGTTGCCTAAACAACTTACGGTAGCTGCTTCAGGCTTCCTGTGCACGGTGTAAGATCCAATTACAAACGAACGACGCTGTAACGCTCGGTTGCGGTACTAAAATGCTCTGCTCTTCGTGAAGGGTAGGTACGCCGAACAAGGTTAGCCTTGAAAGTGAGAGTGACAGATAGCCTTCCATCCCAAGCACACAGCAACTTCAAGGTTGCTCGGATCTAGCGTGGGGTGGAATTCCGATGGAAGCTTGGAGCGATTTGGGAAACACCTTCTGACACAAGCCTAACTAGCCATACGCAACGTGCCACTTGTCGATTCGTCATTAAACAGCACGCGTAATAAGCTGAAACGTATACCTGTTTGTGGTTGGAGAACTCAGCAATGTTTACAAAAGGTGGGAGAACTCCTCAATTTTATGGCAGACCACTAAACCCTTATACATTTGCAAGTACTGTTCACGGTTGCACAGTATCCCAAAAAAAATCGCTCAAACGAAACCAAATGAGGGTGGCGAGAGGTTTTGCGAAAACTTGCACCTTTGAGGGTTCCAAACACGGGAAACTCCCCCGTCACCCAACCTTGCAGTGACTCACCAGCCGAAGCATAGATAGAGGAACCGAGGCTAGCGGTTTGCATCACGACGCTGGGTCGCCGCACTCGAGTAAGCCGTCACGCGATTGATAATTTAGGGGCCGTGTTCACTGAGCGGATGCGCGTTTCATGCGTTGGCCACGCCGCCACTCTCAACACTCGCTAGGTAGGCCTCTCCCGCTTGGCTCCTCACCCGCTGCGCGCCTTTCCCACTTAGCGCCTCACCCGATGCGCACCATGGCCCTTTATCGCCGAACCCGCTGCGGCGCCTCAGCCCTTAGGGCGTGTGACATTTTTCCTTTGTTTTGTCCGGACGTCCAGCCGTTCGGACGGTTGTGTGGTTACCAGAATCCTTCCAGCTCGCCAGCTAGCTCGTCCAGAATCGAAACGACGTCGTATGTGTCGCCTCGCGTCCTTACCACGTCGCAAAGCGACCGTACGATGTCGCCAGCTTTGCAAGCGTTCGGACGTACGTCGCACAACGTCCGGACTTTCTGCGATTTTGAAAAATGTCACACGCCGTTAGCGCCGAACCCGCGGCGCGCCTCAGCCCTTAGCTCCTCTAGGTTCGCGCGCCTCGTTTTCATCTACAGCGCCGCACCGGCTGCGCGTCTCTCTCGCTTAGCGCCTCACCCCCTGCACTCCTTTCCCGCTTAGCGCCTCACCCGCTGCGCGCTTCGGGAGCTTAGCACATACTCTTCTCATTACCCCCCCTTCTCCCCCCTCATTACCCAACTTAATCCCCCCTTTACCCCTCATTTCCCCCCTCCATTTTCCCCCGTTTTCGGGTCTTTTCTCCCCCTTCTCCCTCTCAGTTCCCTGGCCTCTACCCCTCACACTCCCCCCTATTCGCTCTCAATTCCCCCCCTTAGCCCTCACATTCCCCCCCTCTTCTCCCCGTCATTATCCCCTCTTCTCCCTCTCATTTCACCTCCTGGACCCTCTCATTTCCCGTACTCTGTGGGTTCTCGCGGGCGCATGGTGAGGCATGCATGCTAGGAAATCTCTTAGGGTTGCGTTTCCGGTTTGGGGTAATGTGTATCTTGTGGGCACTGGATTGCTCTTTCTCCCCCTCATTACTTTCCTTTTCCCACCTGCAATTCTCCAGGCTTAGCTTGAGCTCTGTCATATGTGCCACCTTTTTCCCCTTCCTCCGTCCCGTTCCCCCCACTCCTCTCACTAGCAGGTCCACCAAGCGTCCCACACTGTCTCGCTCCCCTCTGCTGCACACCAATGCCAGGCATGCAACAGCAGCAGGCAGCACGTGCGGCATCTTTCTGCTTAGTTGACGGCCACCGGTGGTGATTCAAAAAGCATGCATACACTTCTAACTCTGTGTTTGTCGACCTCACTTCACACGATATTAGGAACGTTATGGCCATATGGCTATCTACACTTTATCAAGTTTGATTGTAATCATTCCTCTCAACCTTCTCACTAATTACATATAAAAAGAACATCTGTAGGCCAATTTTCATCAGTACCGTACCATGCATGTGGGTAATCGTATGCCCATGCATCTCAGGCCCTCATTGCAAATCTATCTTGATGGGCCATTCCCATTCTCTTTCGAACCCCTCAATGTCACCTTCATCCTCGTCATTTTCAACACCATCCTCGTCGCCTGCAAAGGATCAGAGGGGCTGGAAGGAGAATGAAAGGGTTTGAATGGGGATGGGAGGGACTGGAAAGGGATGGAAGGAGCTGGAAGGGGATGGGAGGGGATGGGAGGAGCTGTTAGGGGATTGAAAGGGGATGGGAGGGGCTGGAAGAGAATGTGAGGGGCTGGAAGGGGATGGAATGGGAGGGGCTGGAAGGGGATGGAGTTGGACGAAAGGTTATGGCAGGGGAAGGAAGGGTAGGCAGGCAGGTAGGGGAGGCGGGAGAGATGGTTACGAGGGCATGGAGGGAAGAGGAAATGGGGAGGCGGGAAGGAGAATTGGGGAGGAGGGAAAGGGAAACGGGGAGGCGGGAAGGGGTAATGGGGAAGCGGGAAGGGGAATTGGGGAGGCGGGAAGGGGAAACGGGGAGGCGCGAAGGGATAGGGGGAAGCGGGAAGGGGTAATGGGGAGTGGGAAGGGGAAACGGGGAGGTGGGAAGGGGTAATGGGGAGGCGGGTTAGGGGTAACGGGGAAGCGGGGGGTAAAGCAGAGTGGAGAGAGGGGGAAAAAGGGCGTAAGGCAGAGAGGGGACAGGGGGAAGCAGGGCGTAAAAAGAGAGGACGCAAGGTGGGGGCAGAAGGGGGTACGGAAGAGGGGTACGGGAGAAGCAGGGTGAAAGAGGGAAAGGGAGATAGGGAAAAAGGGAAGCAGCGCGGGTAGAAAGAGGGAAGAAGGGTGTAGGGAAGATAGGGGAAAGGGGAAAGCAGGGCGTAAGGCAGAGAAGAGAGAGGGGGAAGCAGGGTGTAGGGAAGAGAGGGAAATGGGGTTTAGCAGGATATAAGGGGGAGAACGCATGGTGGGAGAAGAAGGGTGTGGAGTAGAGAGGGGAAAGGTGGAAGAAGGGAGTAAGGCAGAGTGGAGAATAAATCAAGAGGGGTGTAAGACAGAGAGGGGAAAGGAGGTAGAAGGGTATAAGGCAGAGAGCGGAGAGGGGAATGAAGGGTGTAGGGACGAGAGAGTAAAGGGGGAAGCAGGGCGTGGGAAGAGAGGAGCTAAGAGGGAGAAAGGGGGTAGGTGAGCTTGAGAAGGGGGGGGGGGGGGGGGGATGAGACGGAGAATGGGGAAAAATGAGAAGGAGAAAGGTGGGACATGAGAGGGGGGAGGGGGGTAGACGAGAGGGGGAAGGGGGGAATCGAGAGGGAGAAGGTGGAGAAACGAGAGGGAGACGGGGAGGCGGGTAGGGAAAACGAGGGGGCGAGAAGGGGAAACGGGGAGGCGGGGAGGGATAATGGGGAGCGGGAAGGGGAAACGGGAAGGTGGGATGGGGAAACGGGGAGCGAGAAGGGGAAACGGGGAGCGGGAAGGGGAAACGGGGAGCGGGAAGGGGAAACGGGGAGGTGGGAAGGGGTAATGGGGACCGTGAAGGGGAAACGCGAATGTGGGAGAGCGGGAATGCGAAACGGGGAGGCGGGAAGGGGAAATGGGGTGCGGGAAGGGGAAACGCAAATGTGTGAAGGGGATACCGGGAGCGGGAATGGGAATCGGGGAGGCGGAAAGGGGAAATGCGCGGCGGGAAGGAAAACCGGGGAGGCGGGAAGGGGTAATCATGACACGGGAAGGGGAATTGCGGTGGAGGAAAGGGGAATTGGAGATGCGGGAAGGCAAGGGGAAATGGGGAAAGAGGGAAGGGAAGATCGGAACAGGGAGGCAAGAAAGGGAGATCGGAAGGCAGAAAGTGGGAATTCGGAGGCACTAACGCGAGATACGGAGCCACGCAGGCGAAATAGGGAGGCGAAAAGGGGAGATGGGAAGGCGCTGGGAAGGGGAGAAGAATTGGCTGGTCAAGGAGACCGTTTCGGCAGTCCGTCGCGACCTCAAGTGCGGCTGCCGTGGCTAGTGCGGAAACGGGGTAACAAAGCTGCGCGAGCGGGAGGCGACTGTGATCGTGCGAGATCCCGCTGTTCGGCAGTTTCAGATGCAGCGTGCGTGTTCAAGGAGGTGTGAGGAGGCAGCGAGGTGAGGCGATGCGACGCCGCGACGGACAACGAGGCGAGGCTAATGAAAGGAGGTCCGTTGTGATCGGCTCGGCGAGGTGACTAGAACCGGCGCCGGCTAGGCCACAAGCAGCGGTTTGATGCGGCGCGACGAGAGTGGTAGGTGGAGGGATGCCGCGTTTGAAAGCTAGCGGGCGCGGCTAGTGCTATTTCAATGTCGAACGCGTGTGATGCGGGAGAGGCGAGTGTGAGAGGGCGGAACTGGCGTTGGTGCGGACGCGTAATGACTCTATACGTCTAGTTACGTCGCTGTTTGTGTCGGAAACGGGGTTCTTTGCGCTGGTTGTTGAATCGCGATCTGCTTATCTACGTAGTTTTCGGCCTATCGTGCGTAGTGGCCTAGTTCTGAGAAACATGGTAATTTGTATCCTTTTGTTGTTTCAAAAGTTTTGAACCAGCAGTCAGAGGAGATGGTGCGGGGTGTCGGGGGGATCATCTCCCTTGTGGGACGAGGGAAATGACCTGTAATAGGGTAACCAGTTTTCAAATTTCTAAACTTCTGAAACTCCCACTTTCAAATGTATACGAAAGCTTTAAAGCGACGGTGCACATTTGCCACCCAAAACCCAAAACCCTGGCGAACTGTTACTGCGGATGGAAAGTGTCCGCACGAAATCCTGGTTTTCGCCAGCCAGCACTTTCGCGCTGGCAAGCCTGGTTCAAAAAAAAAAACTTCTGAACCCAACACTGCCAAAAGTTGCCCGTCGCTTTAAGCTATAACATAGTGTCCAGGAAGATAATAATGTTCTATGAGATGTTTTGCCCTGTACATCGATCAAGTTTAGTTCTGTAATGGTTTTAGTTTGGATAAAAATATATGTCCAACGGATGGCATCCGTTCTCCTATATGACTCGTGTGTCCTTTCGTGTCATACAATCCCCTCTATAACAATTATGAGATACAAGCTCGTTACTGGCAGGTACACTTACTGATACAACCACTATAGTGACTGTACAATCTTAACCCAAGAAACTTGTTACGACCCAACAACGAAGGACGCCTTAATCCCGTCGCTACAATCGTTGTTGGCTTTGCTGGTGAAGTAGATGGTGTTGCCGTAGTCCTTGGGCACCACCTTGTAGATGTACTTTCCGTAGTTGCGGGTGCGTGCGAGCTGCTTGGCATTCAAAAACGTGCATGCGGTGTAATCCGCCACGTCAACCTTGTGCACCGAGTGTACCTCGCCCACCCACTGGAACACTGCGGGCAGGGAGGCGGGAGGGATGCATTGACAGACATGGGAGCGGGAGTTGTTATGAAATATACACACCTCAAGTAAACTGCTGTACATTGTCCCTAGTGCAACTCACCCCACCCACTGGGACCGCATGCAGGGGGGTGGGAGGTGAAAGGGATTAGGGCAAATGAGAGCTGGTTATTTTAGGTATCCACACCTCTTTGGTCCACAGGTGCACTGCATTCTGCAAAATAAAATGAATAGGAAGCGGAGAGGTGTACATGGGGAACAAAATAGAAATTTCTGATTATGTATGCACTGTATTCTTCATCTGTGTGGTACGGAAGAATACAGGAAGGCATACAACGGGCGGAGGGAAAGAAGTCTTATTATCTAAGCAGCTGAATGTGTTACCAACACTGTGTAAAATGCAGCATCTGTGCTGCACCTGGGTTATCAATACAGTCCGTGGTTCCAGAACAGCCCTTGGTTACTAGAACAGCCCTAGGTTACCACAACAGGTTCGCACCTCAACCACCTGAGTGTTCTAGTGTGATGTGAATCACGGCGGTAGCACAGTCGAGTAGAACTAGCTCGTGAGCACATACCAGGTCACTGTGCGAAAATCTGAGTCGACTCAAAAGGTGATTTCTGTTTTGAGTCGACTTGTGAGTCAGCTCAAAAGGTGGCGTTTTTTCACTCGCACACACCCACCAGGTCACTGAGTGGACGTTCTGTGCTTACAAATCTCGCAATCGAGTACCCTTCTTGCTGCTGTTACCGCCTCCCACCCACTTGCAAACCGCCACTGTCAAGTGCTGCACTTGGGTGGCAGCAGCAGCAGCACACCCAACACGCACAGGTGCGTATCTGGCATGTAGCCAGGAAGCACCACGTACCTAGCAGGTCGCCTGGCAACACCTTGGGCGCCTTCCAGTCCTTCATTCCAAAGCCCCACGGAGACAGCCACCTGCCGTTGTTGCCCCCAACATACACCACTTTCTGCACGCGGGGAGGGGGCAGGGGAGAAAGTGGGGGGAATTCTTGAGTCGACTCAAAGATAGCCCCACGGGGAAAACCACCTTCCGTCGTTGCCCCCCCACATACACCACTTTCTGCTCGCGGGGAGGGCGGGGAGGGGGAGAGGGGCGGGAGGGAGAGACGAAGGAGGGCGGGAAAGAGAGGGAAGGAGGGACGGAGGGGAAGGGAGGAAGAAAGGGAAGGAGGGAGGGAGGGAGGGAGGGAGGGAGGGAGGGAGGGAGGGAGGGAGGGAGGGAGGGAGGGAGGGAGGGAGGGAGGGAGGGAGGGAGGGAGGGAGGGAGGGAGGGAGGGAGGGAGGGAGGGAGGGAAGACAAAGGGTGAGGTAGAGAAGGGAAGCAGAACGAGCATGTCTCACTTATGAGAGGAAGGGGAGGAGGGGAGGGGTGAGGGAGATGGGGAGATGGGGGTGGAGAGGGAAGGAAGTGCTTCCTCGAAATTTGCGAATGTGCTTCCTCGCACTTCGCGAATGTGTCACGCAGGCCTACCTGCGCCTCGGCGCCGCCTGGGAAGGAACGAGCGGCGAATGGCGGTGACCGTTAATTGTCATCGTCGGCGGAGAGCACGCGCGCGGGCGGACATCCGCGGGCATATGCGGCGAAGCGAAGTCGGAGATTGCGGAAAGGGGGAGGGGGAGAGCATCGAGGGAGAGAGGCGGGGAAGGGGAGAGGAAGAAGAGCCTCTTCAAAAATTGCATGAGGGTCGCGGGTGAGCAAAGAGGAAGATATGAGCGCGAGGCGAACTGAGGAACGCGAGGAATTTGGGACAATCTGGGGAGCGGCAAGCTGGATTCAGAAAATTCTCAGAAACCAGCGAAGAGGAACATCGTTAATAATACAGCGCGGGCGGTCCGCTTGCACGAGTGAGTGGAGGCACGTACCGATGAGGAGAACGAGTGCGGCAAGGAGGAGCCGCAGATGATTGGTTGGGCGCACCATGATTAAGGACGCTGGGATGGGCTGGTACTGGGCCGAAAGCGGACTTGTTCAGGCGGATAGGAAAGCTGTCGGCGGAGCAGAAAATGGTTAGAATTGCACTGCTGCTTCGTGAGCGGAAGCAGAACTGGGAATATAGCAGACTATGTTGAGAAAAGGGGCCACAAAATATGTACAATTGGGTTGGGAGGGAGATAGAGGTTCGAGAGGGGAGAAGGTTGGATCGTTGGAGTTTGGTCGGTGGAAGTAAAAGAGGGGGAGAACATGGGGTTGATATGATTCGGGATCCGTAAACGTTCGGTGCATTGCGGTGCAGAGGGATGAGGTGATCAAAAGAGGCACCGCTGCAGCTTCCATGATTTCACCGAGTTGTTGGGTCCTCCATACCGCGCTCAGAGTCAAGTAAACCTGAATGAACCGCACTGGACACGAGCGATCTCTGAGCCACTTGGGAGTCGCCTTTTTTTGGTGCGGAACACAAACGTGGATGAACGAGCTCCACGAGAATGTAGGGCAGACACTGACCTTGGTGGTTGGCCGAAACCAATTCTTCCGCTGTAAACCAAAACGCCGATTCGCCCGTCATGGCGGCAGTGGTTGCCCGAAAAAATGCAGATACATTGCGTGTCTGTTCACGCATCTCCCGAAGTGTTTGGGGTGGAACTTTCTGCGCCGCCAGAAAATGTCACATGGGGACAATACCTGTGAGCGTGGCCTTGGTGAGTGCCCTAACATTGACTCGGTACTGTAGTAACAGAACTTCTAGCTAAACCTATCACCACACCAGCGGGAACTATCATTACCCTTACATTCTCGAATTCCGTTGTATACAATGTAAGGAAATTACGCATTCCTTTCAGCTGGTGTGAGGTTTGCGGTTTACAGAGTTGTACATACAGCCTTGTCATCTCAGCTTGCCTTATCTTACATTACGCATGGTCTCGTGCTGTGCATTCTGGTCAATGTATTTGATGGAGCAACGAATTGCATTTTTAGGATACCGTTGGAAAGAACGTCATACCAAAGGGAGTGGAACACATATTAAGGCAGAAAGTGGAACATAGCCTTCCTGTCAGAGGCATTTCAAAGCACAGTAATATTCAAATCAACATGAGGAAAGGGGGCAGAGAAACACCACAAATGGAATCCCCTGAATCGGCTTGCAGATTGTTCTGCCTGCCCGGTCAGAGTTGTCCACAAGAAGAGTGGGTCCTCCTGACTCGTGTGGTGGTGTCCCTTCCCCTAATCAAACCAGATCAAACCGAATCAAGCCATGCGCTCATACATATCGCACAGTTTCCCAACAACCATGCCAGAGACTGTCACAAAATCCAACCACTACAGTACGTGTACACACTCTCTTATTGGAACCCAAAGTTCTTACGTCCCGACAACAAACGCCACCTTGATCCCGAGGCTGCAGTCCTTGTTGGCTTTGCTGCTGAAGTAGATGGTCTTGCCATACTCCCTCCATTTCACCTTGTACTCTCTTATTGCAACCCAACCGTGTTCTCTTACGTCCCGACAACAAACGCCACCTTGATCCCGAGGCTGCAGTCCTTGTTGGCCTTGCTGCTGAAGTAGATGGTCTTGCCGAACTCCCTCCAGTTCACCTTGTACCAGTAGCTCCCGTAGTTGCGGTTGCGAGCGAGCTGCTTCGCCTTGACAAACGTGCACGCGGCATACTCAGCCGCACTGACCTTGTGCACCGAGTGCACCTCGCCCGTCCACTGGAACACTGCGGGTAGGGTGCGGGAGCAGTAAGGGATCAAGGGACAGGAGGATGGGGGGAAAGGGTAAGGGGTGGAGAAACGTGCGTGCAGCATAATACTCAGCCGCGTTGACCTTGTGCACCGAGTGCACCTCGCCCGACCACTGGAACACTGCAGGCACGGCACGGGCGCAGGGGGGGACAGGGGGGGTTGGGGGGAAGGTGAATAGGGAGAAATAATGATGACATGTGCACCTCGAAAACAGGCTAGTGTTCTGTCGTGTTGCTGCAGTCCCTTCCGTTCCAACCACCTTGTAACAGTAGCTGCTCCCGTGGTTGCGGTTGCGCGCGAGCTGCTTAGCCTTGACAAACGTGCATGCGGTATACTCAGCCGCGCTGACCTTGTGCACCGAGTGTACCTCGCCCGTCCACTGGAACACTGCGGGCAGGGAGGCAGGCAGAGAGGCGGCGAGCGGCATGGGGGCAGGGAGGCATGGGGAGCACGAGGAATGGAGTTTTGATGATGACATATACGGTACACCTTAAAGATAGGGTAGTGCTCTGTCGTCTTGCCCCAATCTTTGACGACCGCCTTGCACCAGTAACTCCTGTAGTTGCGGGTGCACGCGAGCTGCTTCGCGTGGAGAAACGTGCATGCAGTGTAATCCGCCGCGTCAAGCTTGTGCACCGAGTGCACCTCGCCTGACCAATGGAACACTGAGGGACACGGGGGGCAGGGAGTTACATGTATTACACACCCCTCTCAAATGAAGTGTGATACTTTGTACACCAAGTGCTCCTCTCCCGACCACCGAAACACTGCAGGCAGGAAGGCAGTGAGGGAGGCATGGAGGGAGCCACCCACACACTCACACAGCACATCACATCTGCACACGCACAGCCGGCAGTGAGGGAGGCATGGATACGGGCGTACCCGCGCTATCTCCAGGCAGCAACTTGGGTGCCTTTCAGTCCTTCATCGCGAAACTCCACGGGGACAGCCAGCCACCCACACACACACTCACACTCTCGTACATCATTCGCACACCACATCACACATCACACATCACACACACTCACACACATCCGCAAGAGCATGCATACCTAGGCTGTGGTCTGGCAGCAACTTGGGTGCCTTCCAGTCCTTCCTCGCGAAACCCCACGGAGACAGCCACCCACACACACACACACACTCGCACACCATTCGCACATTACATCACACATCACAATCACACACAGACACACCCGCAGGAGCATGCGTACCTAGGCTGTCCCCCGGCAGCACCTTGGGCGCCTTCCAGTCCTTCATTGCAAAGCCCCATGGGGACAGCCACCCATCCCACACACACTCGCACATGGGCACTGTCAGTCAGTAGCAGCAGACCTGCCAGTTCTTGAACCAGACACGGACGTACCTAGGCTGTCGCCGGGCAGGACCTTGGGCGCCTTCCAGTCCTTCATTGCAAAGCCCCACGGGGACACCAACCGGTTGGAGCTTCCTCCCACGTACACAACTTTCTGCATGCGGAGAGCGGGGACAGAGGGGCGAATTAGGGGAGGAGGGAGTCTTGAGTCGAATCGGTAACAGCCTCACGGGGACAGCAAGCGGTTGGAGCTGCCTACCACGTACACGATTTTCTGCACGCGGGGAGAGGGGGGACAGAGGGGCGAATTGGGGGAGGGAATCTTGAGTCGACTCGGTACCAGCCTCACGGGGACAGCAAGCGGTTGGAGCTGCCTACCACGTACACGATTTTCTGCACGCGGGGAGAGGGGACGGAAGGGGGGGCAAGGGGACGTAGGTGGAATTCTTGGGCGCCTTCCAGTCCTTTATTGCAAAGCCTCAGGAGGACACCAACCGGTTGAAGCTTCCTCCCACGTCCACGATTTTTCTGCACGCGGGGAGAGGGAGGGGCAGACGGGGAAGGCGGACAGGGGAGGAAGGGGAGGCGAGAGGAGAGGTGGGAGTGGAGGGATTCTTGAGTCGAATCAAGAGTAGCACAGGAGTTGGGGACACCAAGCGGTTGGAGCTTCCTCCCACGTACACGATTTTCTGCACGCGGAGAGCGGGGGCAAAGGGGGTGGGGGGACGGGGGATATATTCTTGAGTCCACAGGGAGAGGGGGCGACGGGGTTGGGAGTGAGATGGGAGGGAGAGAGGCGGGAGGGAGAGAATCGGGAAAGAGAGAGAGAGGAGGGAGGGAGGGAGGAGGGAGGGAAGGATAGCAAGGGAAGGAGGGACGGAGGAGAAGGGATGCGGGGATGAAAGGAGGGAAGGGAAGGAGGAAGGGAGCATTGAGATGGAAGAGAAGGGGTGAGGGAGTGAAGGGAGGCAGTACAAGATTGTCTCCCATGTGCGATGAAGGCGACAAGGGGAAGGTGGGGGAAAGACGGAGGCAGAGGGGATGGGAAGGAGGTGCTTCCACGAATAACTAAAGTGTGTTTCCTCGCATGTCGCGAATGTGCATCCTAACGTGTCGCGAACGTGCCACCTCGCATGTCGCGAACGTGCCTCCTCGCATGCACACGAGGTTGCATGCGAGTCCGTCCACGTAGGCCTACCTGCGCCTCGGCGCCGCCTGAGAAGGAGCGAGCGGCGAATGGCGTTGAAAGTCGTCGCAGAAGAGCACGCGTGAGCGGCGGGTATGCGGCGGGGGGAGTCGGGGATTGCGGAAAGAGGGAGGGGGAGGACATCGAGGGACGGAGGGGAGAGGGGGAAAAAGAGGGGGGGGGGGAGGGAGGGAGAGAGGGGGGGGGGGGGGAGGAGGGGAGGGGGTAGTGGGGAGGAGAGGAAGGGAGGAGGCGGTGGGTCGCGGGGAGCAAAAATCTGGGCACGAAGCGAATTGAGGAACGACAGGCGAATGGGGGCGGAGTTTGAAAGCGTGAGGAGGAGTATGACACGGTGGCGCCTCGCGAGGGAGAGCACGCCGATAATAGAAGAACGCGGTCAGCCTCGAGTTGCAGAAAGGAGAGGAGGCAACTCCCTTGTGCTCCGTGCTCCGCTCATTGCTCCGCTTATTGCTCCGTGCTCCCCTCAAGATAAAAGTTGTCTTGAGACGTCTCAAAAGTCAACCTTTATCACGTGCCGATAATAGTACAACGCGGAGTTGCACAAAGGAGAGGAGGCACGTATAATGTGTCCGTGCTCCGCTCATTGCTCCGCGCTCCCCTCATTTGCGCAACCTCGATTACGGAACAGCGAACTCGTTTGCGCAGGCTCGATAACAGAACGGCAAACTAATTTGCGCAACCTCGATAGAGGAACAGTGCGGGCATTGTGGAGGTACGTACCGACGAGGAGGACGAGGGCGGCAAGGAGGAGGTGGAGCCGCAGAGGAACTAGGCGCGACATGATGACGAAGGTTGGATGGGTTAGTACTGACAGGTTCGGAACGGGACTTTGTTCGGGCGGATAATGAAGGTGTGGCTGAGAGGGAAATGGTTAAACTTAGTGCGGCTTTCTTGAGCAGTGGCAGAACCAGGATTAGGCGAATTCTGTTGGGAAAAGGCGCCGAGAATAAGAAATATTCTGGGGAGGTGAGACGGCATGGTGTGTGTGGTAGGAGTTTGGTTGGTGAGCTGGAACGAGGGAGAACATGGGGCTGGGATTCATCGAGTTTAGGTACGTTTCAGTACGTTGCAGAGGGATTCTGTGGGATGTTCGGATTTCGACGGGGGGGGAACTAGGGAGATACAAGAGCTCCTGCGCATTGCGCACATTTGGTCCTTTGTACCGCGCTCAGAATTCGGAAAACCTGAAGAACCGCACACCACATGAGAGATTATGAGAGGGATGACCAAGTGTCCAGAAAATGTCGGGCAGGCAGAGACCTTGGTGGTTGGTCGCGACCAATTCTTCTGGAACCTGAACGGTAGAGAGAGCGAAATAAGAGGGCTACAAATGCAAAATAAGACAAACATAGGTTCACACTGACTACAGTGGATGCCCAGAAAATATATCGAGCAGTGGGTTTGCTCTCGCCCCTCCCCCACCACATGTTTCAGGGTCGAAGGCCCGGCGCCGCCAGAGTAAGCCCCCCAACATTGTATCCGCAATTAACATAAGCACGGAACAATTAGTACACCAGAAGAAAACAACAGTTACCACTGTTGTGCTGTCCACAATGTAGTATTTTTCATACCGAGAAAAAAATCATTAGCTAGAGTTTATAGCACAGCCAGCGGTTCTTTGGGAATGTGGAAACCATTTCAACCCTAACAGGAAACAAGAAATAAAGCAAAAAATAACAGTGTATAAGCCCTTTTTGAAAAGTGCAATTTACAGTTCATACCCATGAGTTTCGTTTCAAAGTGGGGAGGTGATACAGTCGCTTTAGATCGCACAATACCGTGCACAACTGCTTTAGATGAACAGTTACGAGACTTTTCACAGCCTAGGGTCGTGCTGTGAAAAGTCACAATTCATTCACAGACTATCACATTTTCTTGGCCGATCTATTGGCCAGGTGCTTGTGATGCTGTCACGCGTTGGAACTTTGTTCCTTTGGCCAAATGCTAAAAAGGCTGGCAATGCCTACTTTCTGAAGCGATCATTGGCCCAAGTACAACTGTCAAATAAGAAAAGGGAATACCCATTCAGAACCAGGTTCCTGTCTTTATCCGTAGATTTCGCGATCAATTAGAATAGATTCCCCTAATTTCGTAAATAAAAAGAATGTCCACGCATATTTTTGGTTCCCGACGGGTTGGATTCCTTTTGTCTAGTACTGGGTACCTCGGAAAAGCAAACGAGTTCAACAAAGAAAATTGTCGAGGCCTATTATCGAAGGGCTTGCTTCCAGGAGCTTCTTCACATGTCAGATAGTTCGAGCTGTCGACTGCTCATTCGCCTTTTACAAGCGCATCACGTGAGATTCACATGCATATCACATGCGATTGTTACGCGGGTCGTGAAAAATCAAAAAGTAGGCAGCATTGGGATTGGGTTTCCCAGCAAGCTCTCATTGCGTGACGCGGGTTTCCTCATGGGGAGGATTCGGCAGTGCCCCCAGCAAAATCTCTTTCGCCTGAAGTTGTGATGGATTCGGCCTGTTGGAAGAGTAGAAAGTGAAGCCACTTTCTAGGACCGACCGACACTCTGCTCTACTGTGTCACCTCCGCGTGGAAAGGAAACTCTCTTTTTTTTGCCAGCAGCAGCCACAACACACACACTCCAGGCATCCACTCTACAGCCACCGCTATCGCAAAAAAGGTTTGTCCTCGAGGTTCCCTTTTGCCAGCTAAGGCGACTCGACGGCCACACCCTTCTCATTGGGTCGCTGTTCGTCTGGCATTGGGGTTGTTACCAGGATGAGACGAGAGCCACGTGACGTTTGCAATCGACGGTTTGATTAGTGTCTGTGATGGGGCGTGACTTGCGGTGAGACATCATTTTATAGAATTACGTCCTGATCTTACATTTACCATAAAGAAGCAGATACAAGCGCTGAGCAGAAGGAAGATGATGATTTTGTCTTTTTATGATCTGTTGGACTAACGGACTTGAAGGAAAACCTGTGGGTCTACCAGCAGAGTAACTTAGCTGTTGCGTCAGCCGCGTCTCTTCGTTCCCCTCTCACTCATTCCTCCCGTTGCGAGCAGTACAGAACGAGTGTGTCCCATTCCACAGGCGTCTCTAAGCAGAAAACGAAGTAAGTTCGATAGAGTAAACACCACCCGAAGCACCATTACTAGGCATTCCCCCGAGAAAGGCGGTCGAGACGATTTATCTAAGCCGTCTAACAATGGGGAATTCTCACTGGACCTGGAATCCCGACACTGGCTGGAATAACAAACCCGATTCGCCTAGACCCCTCACCCCACCGCATCTCCACTCTCCATTTGCCGAGCCAACGGTCGCGATGGACTCGTCGTGTCCTGTTGCGTCTGAGCGACCCGTCCAGGCGGCTCCAATGCACGACGCAGCACCAAAGAGCAAAGCTTTTCCCGTAGCAGAGAACCTCACGTTTGACCTGATAGGCCAGCCCTTCGTCCAGTCGCTTCTATCCCCGACCTCACACGCTCAACGGCCGCCATTCTCAGGACCGCCGCCGTCGGTTTCAGCACCTTTTAGTCACGAACCGCTGATGTCAGCACCGTCTCCCAAAGAACCGTCCGTAGGCCGTTTCTCAGTGCGTGGCTCAGGCTCACAACCAGAGCGTCGCTTAGGCTGGCAATCAGAGCGTCGGTCAGGTTCGCAGTCTCTATTACCTGCCGAGAATAATGGACTAGGATCGAGGCCGTTTTCTCAAGGACCTCTTTTCGTGCCGTCTCCAACGGGACCAGGTTCGCATGGATTTCCCACTAGGCATCGACTCGGGTCATCCGAAGCCGCTGGTTCTGTAACGGCTAGAACGATTTCCACTGCAGCAGCTGACGTGGCGTCTTCTGACATGGCGCCGCCGTCCTGGCCAATGGGCATGCCTGTGCATTGCTTTGGAATAACCCTCCTCAGTTGGGACCAATCACGGGGATTGAACCGCAACCGCTCCAGCAAACTGCGACATACGCGCGCGCAAGGGCGTCGCGGGACGCAGCTTTCCCGACGGGCGAACGGGGACAGGAGGCCGCGCACCCGTATCTCAGCACGTGGGCCCCTCTGATTGAGCGAAGCGGAAGTCGCGGGCGTGAGGACAGCGGAAGCCGCGGGCGGGATGGTGGCGGAAGCCGCGGGCGGGATGGTGGCGGAAGCCGCGGGGAGGTTGGCAGCGGAAGCCGCGGGAGGAACGGCAGCGCCGCAAGCTCACCCCAAGCGCGGCGGATTGGAATAGAGTCGAGCAGTTTGGGCGCCAGCGGGAATGATGTGGTTCCCCTCACAACCTCCCGACTGCTTCCGCTCTTCCCCCTTTCATCTCCCGCCACGGGTTCCACGCTCCCCCCTCCCGCTTTCCCCGCAGAGGCGGCGTCTGCAGCAGCGCCTGACGCGCCGACAGCTCCGGTGGCGCTAGGGGGTATCCCCCCTGGCTGGGAAGACTGGGCGGCGATAGCGCTGATGGCGGAATTGGCTGGGGGAATTGGCGGACAGCCCGTAACGCCCACCTTTCCAGCACAACCGCAGCTATTGTCGGCTTCGTCAGCGCGCGGAAGCGGAGCGGCGGCGGCGGATGAGGGCGCGCGGAACGTGCAGCGTCGGCGGGGTGGGCGGACTGGTGGCGGAGAGCGCTACGACTTGTGGCAAGGCCCGGCGCTTTTTACAGGGTCCGCGTCTGCTTCCGCCTCCGCTTCCGCCGTCGCTTCCGCTTCCGCCTCCGCTTCCGCTTCCGCCTCCGCCGCCGTTACCGCGTATCCTGTTCCGGCGCATGGACCGAACCTTAGGGCGCTGGGGCGGGAGAGTGTAGAAGGCGGAAGTTTCCGGGAAAGGATTGGCGGGGAGGAGCGGGAGGGATTGGAGACAGCGCGGTCGCTCAAGCGGCGCTCAGCCTGGGAACCGTCACAACAGACTCAACCCCCTCATCCTTCTCAACCCTCTCATCCCTCTCAACCGACTCAACTAACTCAGGCGGAAGGCCTGATAAGGCGGAGCCTGTCAGTTACCAGAACGTCAACTAATCCACCGCCAACTTTGGTACGGAGTAGGAGCTCTAGTCGGCCCGCAATTGGGGTATCAAGTTACCCGCCTCAGAGTGTTCTGAAGACTCTTGGTCCGCCGGTTAGCAGAGCGCTAGGCAGCGCGGGTACCTCGCGCGGGGAGCGGAGCGAGGGGAGGGATTCCGCGGGTCCGCGGGTTAGAGGGGGCGAGTTTAAGATTCCGCAGCCCGCGTCGAAATCAGGGTCCCGGTCGCTGTCCGCCACTGCGCGCGGAGGCGTTCCTTCCGCCCCCGCGCCTGGTTCCGCCGCTGAGCAGTGGCTTCCGAAAAGGGAGCAGGGCGACGGGCACGGAGCAGGGGGAGCGGGAAGCGGGAGCTCGAGCAGCAGGGGGAAGAGCGCCGGGTGGGGAAGCGGCGGGCGAGGGGAGGGGGAGCATGGTCTGTCGTACATAGTGGAAGGCGCAGGGAGAGGTGGTGGTATGGGCGGAAGGATGCTGGCGGAAGGGGATGGGCATGGGCGCGCGGGCGTTTGGGGGAAAGTTTGGGGAGGGGAAGGGGGAGCGGGGCCTGCGGGTGGAAGCGTAGCAGGCGGAGCTGCGGAGGCCGAGGGAAGGAGGAAGGCTGGTAGAGACGCAAGCACAGGGAAGGTTTCTATTCGCTCAAGCGGGACGAGTGATCACGTTCTAGGTTTAAGAAAACAACAGTCCAGCGGCTGTGCGTTTAGTCAAAGCAGCAGGAAGCGGCAGCTGGAGGAGCAGGGGGAGCAGGGGGGGCAGGGGGTCCAGAAGGGGCAGGGGGAGCAGGGGGCGGAGTTGCAGGGTCAGAAATCGCCTGAGTCACGTGTGGAGCGGAGAAAGAGACCTGCGGGGACTCCGCCTGGGGGGGCCCCACCCGCGGGGACTCCGCTTGTTGGGACCCCTCTCCCCCGGACTCCGACTGCTGGGTCCCCTCTCCCGGGAACTCCGCCTGGGGGACTGGCGCGGCGGCTTGAGGTGCCTGTGTCGTGCGGGTGGGAGGCGTTTGGCGAGGACGCGGACGGGGAGGAACGCGGGTGCACAGGTGGGGGAGGAGGCGCAGGTGGGGCAGGGGCAGGGGCAGGGGCAGGAATGGGTCCAGGGACAGGAATAGGGATGATAGATGTACATACGGAGTCTGGGAGTAGAGGCCGGGCAGGAGGATGTAGGGAGAAGCGCAGGGTTGTGGAGAGGGAGGGAAGTTGGATTGGGGAGAAGGAGAGTGGTGGTTGTGGGAAAGGGGGGGAGGGTGAGAAGGGGGAGAGTGCGAGGGGGGAGAGTGCGAGGGGGGAGGGTACGAGGGGGGAGAGTGCGAGGGGGGAGAGTGTGAGGGGGGAGGCAGGAGGCGAGTGGGACGCGTTTGTGCTTGAGATGACACGTGACACCTCTCTCCCGAGATTCGTTGCATCTGGACCGGTCCTGGATTCATCAGGTCCTGTGCTGCAAACAGCCGTTGCTCTCGCTACCCCTCCAACCCCTTCCTCTCCTGCTGCCGCCCTGCCCACTACCGCCACCACTACGAAACCCGACTTGCCTCGTCCTGCCTACCCGTCTCCTGCTGTCGAACCACCACACAGCACCCATTTGAACCGCTCTGTGTGCCGACCAGGCGACTCACAAGTAGGCTCAGTGGGGCAGCAGAGGAAGGCAGTTGGCGGATCGTTTGGAGGGTGGGTCCGGGCTGTGAGCCAGGCAAGACCGGTCGGTCAGCAACAAAGAGTTGGTGAGGCAAGGGAAGGGGAGCAACCAAGCGTGGTAAGCCAACCACGGGCTGTGAGCCAGCCAAGAAACCGCAAGGAGTTTGAGACACCCGTGCACGCTGCTGGTGTTTGTGCTGGTGCTGGTGCTGGTGCTGGTGCTGGTGCTGGTGCTGGTGCCGCAGTTTTAGTCACAAAGGGAAGTGCCAAAAGGCTCAAACTTGCGGTGGCTGACGCAGAGGAGGCAGGGAGAAAGGGTCATGGAAAGGTTTCTGACGGCAGTGCGCGTGGGGCTCGTGATAGGGACGGCAATGGTGCTTCTGGCGCTGGCCTTGGCGTTGCTGCGAATCCTGCTGGGCTAGAGAGGGGCGTGCAGGAAAGGGCACCGATCACACCTACTGATGCCCGATTGTTGCACGCTGCTGTTGCTGTTGCTGGCAATGCTGGCAGTGGGGGCGCTGCTGCTCCTCTATGCCGTGCTAGTGCTGCTTATGCTTCTGCTGCTGCTGCTGCTGCTGCTGTTGCTGGCAATGCTGGCAGTGGGGGCGCTGCTGCTGCTCAATGCCGTGCTGGTGCTTCTTCTGCTTCTGCTTCTGCTGCTGCTGTTGCGCCATCTGGTTGCCTTGCAGTTGCCCAATTCGCAGCACTGCCTGCGTTTCTGCCTTCTTTGGCTGAACCTGGTAACCCTAATGAGACCAGAGGATCCACTCAGCCTAACGAGCCTAAGGAACCCATGGCACCTGTTTCTCCGTTCTCTCCTCTCTCTCCTGCCTCCCCTGTCCCTCCTGTCCCTCCTGTCTCTGCTGTCCCTCCAGTTCCTCCTGTTTCTCCTGTTGCTCCTGCTGCCCCTTCTCCTGTCACTCGTGCTGGGGTGCCTGCTGTCCAGCCTGGTACGGATCTTCCAGCAGTAGAAGGCACTGCCTCTGCTGTATCTCCACCACTTGCCCCTTCTCCTACCACTCGTGCTGGGGTGCCTACTGTCCAGCGTGGTACGGATCTTCCAGCAGTAGAAGGCACTGCCTCTGCTGTGTCTCCTCCGCTTGCCCCTGCACCAGTTGCTGCCACCTCATCTGTTGCTGTTGCCACCTCACCCGTTACTGTTGCCAGATCACCCGTTACTGTTGCCAGATCACCTGCTGCTGTTGCCAGATCACCCGTTGCTGTTGCCAGATCACCCGTTGCTGCTGCCACCTCACCTGCTGCCGGTGCACCTGCTGCTCCTCTTGCTCCCACCCCTGCCACTGCTCCTGCTCCTGCCACAATACGTCGCCCAAGGCTGAGACCAGAGCCCATAGAGGTCCCAGCGGGCAACACGAGCGGTGGCAGCAGTGGGGGTTCAGACGAGCACGCACTGGCAATGGCAGCGGCAGCAGCTACAACTGCTGCCACCGCTCTCACCCCTGCCACTGCTCCTGTTCCTGCCACTGTTCTTCCCACAACCACGACACGCCGGCCAAGGGCGAGGCCAGAGCCCATAGAGGTCCCAGCGGGCGACAGTTGGGGATCAGACGAGAACGCACTGGCAGTGGCAGCAGCAGCAGCTACACTTGTCGCCACCGCTCCCACCCCTGCCGTGGCTCCCCCCTTTACCACGACACGTCGGCCAAGAGCGAGGCCAGAGCTCATAGAGGTCCCAGCGGGCAGCACAAGTGGGGGCTCGGACGAACACGCACTGGCAATGGCAGCGGCAGCTGCACTTGCTGCATCCGCTCCCACCCCTGCCACTGCTCTTCCCCCTACCACGGCACGTCGGCCAAGGCCGAGACCAGAGCCCATAGAGGTCCCAGCGGGCGACAGTGGGGGATGGGAAGAGCACGCACTGGCAGTGGCAGCGGCAGCAGAGTCAGAGGACCAGCTTTCTGTTCCTGGGCCTATGGCACTCACAGGTGCACAGGAGCAGCGGCAGCACGGGCAGCAGCGGCAGCAACGGCAGCAGGGACAGCAGCGGCAGCAGGGACAGCAGCGGCAGCAGCAGGGGCTGTGGCGGCCGCAGTTGGGTTTTCAAGGAGGCGAGGGGCGGCAGGGGCGGGCGTTTAGAATGCCAGGGTTTTGGCAGCAGGTGCAAGGCGGGGCAGTGGGGGTGGCGGGGGGTTTGGAAGAAGTTGGGAGAGTGGGAGGAGTGGGAGGGAGAGCGCGTAGGGAAGGAGAGGGCGAGGTTCCCTCAGGGCCCCTGTTGATGCATCTCAGGGAGAGTCTAGAGGAGGGCGAGGGATGGACCTCCCAGGGGAGCTTCACAGCGGATGAAGGGGAGGGTGGGAGCAGTGAATTCGCCATGGGGGAGGAGGAGGGGAGCGGAGGGGATGGGAGGAGGAGAGAGGAGGGGAGCGGAGGGGATGGGAGGAGGAGAGAGGAGGGGAGCGGAGGGGATGGGAGGAGGAGAGAGGAGGGGGGCGGAGGCGGTGGGCTGGCGGGACGGGTGGAGGGGAGCGGGCGACAGGGGCACGGGCAGGGGGAAGGGGAGAGGGGGGAGAGGGAGAGGGAGGTGGAAGCGGATAGGGGGGAGCGGGAGAGGCAGGAGGGAGGGGAGAGGGCGGAGAGGCAGAGGGGCAGGGACGAGAGGCAGAGGGGTGTTACAAGCGTTAGGGACATTAGGGGCGTTAGAGGCGTAAGGAACATTAGGGGCGTTAACATTAGGGACGCTAGGGGCGTTAGGGACGTCAGGGGCGTTAGTGGCGTTAGGGGCGCTAGTGGCGTTTGGCCTAGAGGGCGGAGGGAGAGGGATATGGTCGTGCTGCGGCTGCTGCAGGGGAGGGACGGCGGGAGCTCGGGAGGCAGCAGCAGAGGGAGTGCAGAGGCAAGGAGGAGGAGGACGAGGATAAGTAGGAGCAGTCAGCAGAGGGAATCGGGTGGGGGAAGAGGAGGGAACCAGGCCCAGGGGGTGGTGGTAGGAGGCAGGGGAGGCAGGGGAGGGAGGGCGGAGGCGGGGACGAGACTGGGGCAGAGTCCTTTGCAGTTTTCCCCCAGGAGAAGGCCTGTAAGGGAGCAAGGGGCGGGGAACCGCGTGAGTGGGCAGGGGGAAGGAAGCAATGCGAGAGGGCAAGGTGTTGTGGAAGGGCCAGGGGTCTTGGGCAGGGGGGGGGGGTGTGGAGAGGGTAGGGGGCGTGGGAGGTTATGGGCGGATACATGCCAACAGTGGCAGCGGTGGGGTGGGGAGCAACAGCTGCCCTGTCCCTGATTTAGGGTTCCTTGGAATTTTGGGTGGGCCTTCAGGTGGAATCGCAGGTGGTGCTTCAGGTGTTGCAGCTGGATCGTCAGGTGGCATTCGTGGGGGTGTTTCAGGCGTTTTGGGTGGCGGCAGCGGTCTGGGCGGCAGCGGCCTGGGCGGCAGTGGTCTGGGCGGCAGTGGTCTGGGCGGCAGTGGTTTGGGCGGCAGCGGCCTGGGCGTGGTGACGGAACAGGGCACAGACGATCAGCAGATAGAGCCTCCCCCTGTTGCTGTGGGGGTAGAGCCTCCCCCTGGAGTGACAAAGGCAGGAGCAGGATCAGGGGAAGGGGAAGGGGCTGCTGAGGAAGCAATGGGAGCAAGAAGCGGTGGTGGTGGGAGGAAGGAAAGCGGGGGAAGGGGAAGCGGGGGGAGTGGGATGAGGGGGAGGGGAAGTGGGGGGAGGGGATCAGTGGGGAGGGGAAACGGGGCGAGTTGGATAGAGAGGTTGATCGGGCCTCGTTTGGCATTCGGCATAAGTGGGGGCGAGAGGGGAGAAGGTGGGGTTGGGAGGAGGGGAGGGGAGCAGGGGTTACTACTAGCAGCACCACAGCAGGTGGCAGGCTTGGGATTGGGCGGGCAGGATATGGAGGGACGCGTGCAACTGGTTGGTGTTGCGAGGGAGGCAGGAGGAGGGGATATTGCGGGACTTGGAAACGAAATGGGTCAGCAGCAGCAGCAGAGACAGCAGCAGGATGAGGAGCAGCAAGTGGGTGCAGCAGAAGCAGCAGAAGCAGCGAAGCACTTGGTAGCAAGCATTCCTCGGTTCTCTCCGTTCCTCACAGGCAGGCGCCTACAGTCGAGGCGGAGAGCAGTGGAAGCAGCAGGGTCGTGCGTCCGTGCACCACCACCACCATCACCAGTGGGAGCGGGCGCGGGAGCGGGAACAGCAGCAGCAGGTGCAGGAGCGGGAGCGGCTGCGTCAGACTCCATGTTTGCAGCCAGCAGGTGTGCGGGCGCCTCTGCACACAAGAGGGCGGTGCCTGGCGAGGTGTGGAGCAGGAAACGCAGAGGCAAAAGGCAGAGGAGATGTGCTGCTGCTGCTGCTGCTGCTGCTGCTGCTGCTGCTGCTGCTGCTGGGGATGCTGCTGCTGCTGCTGCTGCTGCTGCTGTTGGTGGTGGTGGTGCTGCTGCTGGTGCTGCTGTTGGTGCTGCTGTTGGTGCTGCTGTTGGTATTGGCTATGGCGCTGGTGGCGGTTGCGGTGGGGAGCAGTATGGAGAGGGAGAGGGCGAGCAGGGAGGGTTGGTGGAGAGGGCGTGTCTGATAGCGAGAGCAGTGGCGCGGAGGGCAGTGCTGGACGAGGAGCAGGAGGGCGCCAGGGCCTCACACTCCGTTGAGGCGGGCTCTGTGGATGATGTTGATATGCTGCCAGCTGCCGCTGACGATGCTCCTGGTGATGCTTCTGGCTGTGCTGCTGATTTAGCTGCTGTTGCTGTTGCTGCTGCTGCTGCTGATGATGATGTAGCAGCTGCTGCTTCTCTCGGTGATGGTGATCCTGGTGGTGCAGCTGCTGCTCATGCTCCTGCTCTGGCTTCTGATTCCGCTGCTGCTGCTGCTGCTGCTGCTGCTGCTGCTGCTGCTGCTGCTGCTCCTGCTGCTGCTCCTGCTGCTCCTACTGCTCCTGCTGCTGCTCCTGCTGCTCCTACTGTTCCTGCTGCTGCTCCTGCTGCTCCCTTCAGCCCTCAACGTCCAAACCTACAGCTTCCTCCCTCTCCCTCCCCGCCTCCTCCGCCCTCAGTCACCTCATTTCCGCACTGACTTCTCCCCACCTCCCCACCTCCCCCTCAATAGCCCCCTCTCCCCACCTTCTCTCCTTCCCTCTCCTGGGCCCCAGTCTCTCAGCTGGTCGCACCACTCTGCCAACGTGGCAGCTATCAGATCGTGGCTTCAGGATGCTGCCACGTGGCATGAGCTGATTGGGCAGCAAGAGCGCGACCTGGGTTTGTCTGGATGGGTAGAGGGGGAGGTGGAGGAGGAGAAAGAGAAGGAGGAGGCGGGGGAGGAGAAGGAGGAGGAGGTAGAGGAGACGGAGGAGGAGGGCGAGGAGGTGGAGGAAAGGGAAGGCGAGAGGAGGGAGGAGAGCAGACAGGAGGAGGAAGGGCACAAAAGAGAAAAGGAGAAGCAGGGAGAGTCGCGGGACCTGGTTAAGTCCACCAGGAGAACTGAACACCAGGAGGAGTTGAAGGTCAAAGTTGAGAATGGGATTGGCCCTCCACAGTGCATGTTCTGTGGGGCGGTGGGGCACACTGTGCTGAGGTGCTCTGAAACCCACGATGGGGAGGTGCTTGTGCTGGTTGCACGGCTGTGTGACTGGGTTGAGAGGGGTGGAGAGGTGCTGGGAGAAAGGGGGGATGGAGAAGGGGAGGCGCAAGGAGGGATAGAGGGGGGAGGGATGAAAGTAGGCGGGATGGAGGCAGGAGGAGGTGGAGGGGGGAGTGGGAGGGAGGAGGAACGAGGAGGGGAGGAGGGAGCAGGGTTGGAGGAGGTGAGGAGGAGAGAGTGCCAAAGGAATGGTAAAGGAAGTGAGGGGGGTGGTGGGGGAAAAGAAGACGGCAAGAGTGTGGAGAGTGAGGGGATGGTAGGGGCGGCGAGGATGGTAAGGAGGGTGAAGAGGGTGAGGAGGATGGGACGGACAAAAGCGGAGCCACATTTTTGTCTTTGGTGCGGGGTGGGCGGCGGCCACTGGGCGGCAGAGTGCGCAGTGCTGTTGGAGGAACGGAGCTTACTTCAGATCGGGCCTGAGATAGCCGCCCCACCCACCCCCGCTGCCGTCCATACCTTACCTGTCGCTCCCACTCCCCCTGACGCCCCCATCCCTCCTGCCAAACCCACACTCCTTGCTGCCCTCACCCTTCCTGTCGCTCCCACTCCCCCTGTTGTTCCCGCTCTCCCTGCTCTCGCTGCTCCTATACCTTCTTCTCCGAAGGAGCTTGCAGTGATTGCATTCTCTCCCTCCGCTCTTCCTCCCGCTGCTGTCCCGCCGCTCCCCCCTGCTCTGCCTTCTTGTTACACTATGTATGACACTGTTGCTGCTGGCACTGCTGCTGTTGGTATTGTTGCTGTGGATGGTGCTGCGGGTGGTGCCGCCACTACTGCAGACCGTGTTCATATGGCAGCAGCAGTCGTAGCAGGAGCAAAAGCAGCTGCTACAGCAGCAGCAACAGAAGAAGAAACAGCAGCAGCAGCCGGAGCAGGAGCAGGTGAAGTGGCAGAAGCAGCAGCAGCAGCCATGGATGTTGAGAAGACACCAGTAAACCATCAGGTTCCAGAGTTATCTGAGACAGGCCCTCCCACTTTCTCCCCTCTCACTTTCTCCCCCGTCACCCCTCCTCCCCCTCATGTTCCCCTCCCTCATTCTCCTTACCCTCATGCTCTGCCCCTCATAGAAGAAGGTACACACCAACCAGAGCAAGGTTGCCATTTCGGTGACGCTCTTGCTTTGGCATCAGGCTCGGCAGCAGCTCCGGCGCCAGGTTCGGCATCGGCTTTGGCACCAGCTTCGGTGTATGAGTGGGCGTGGCTGCTCGCAGGCACTCAGCAGGCTCGGACGCCCGAGGCTCGGCAGCAGACTCGGAAGCAGTGGGGTCAAGGTGGGGAGGTTTGGCAGGAGAATGGGGAGGACGGGAAGAAAGGTGGAGAGGCAAGGGAGCGACGAGGGGCAGGTGTGGGGGAAAGAGGAGGAGGAGGAGGAGGAGGCGGAGGAGGAGGAGGAGGAGGAGAGGAGAAGGAGCGAATCTGCCTGCTGTGCTATTAGAGGCGGTGGAGGGGGCTCGCCTGTCCAGAAGAGACTTCCAGAGGTGCGTGTGTGGTGGAGAAAACAATTGTTGGTCAGAAGGACATGAGTGGGCTGGGTGGCAGTGGGCAGGGAGCAAGGGGCAGGGGGCAGGGGGCAGGGGGCAGGGGGCAGGGGGCAGGGGGCAGGGGGCGGGGGGCGGGGGGCGGGGGGCAGGGGGCAGGGGGCAGGGGGCAGGGCGGGCTGGGGTTCGAGGCAGAGGGGTGCCTCCCATATCCTTGACATACTCCTTATCTGACCCGTCCCATTGCTTGCGACGCTGTGCACTGTGCATTGTGTGCGCTTGCGCTCTGCTTTCTGAGTTGACTCACAAGTCACCTTATCAGACCCCATCCTCTCCCTTTCCCGCCCTGTTCACTGCACTGTGTGCTATTATCCTCTGCTGCTTACCATCTCCCCGCATGACAGGTGGCAGGAGCAGAGAGAGCTGTCAGCGCAGGCAATGGGGTGTTTCTTGCTCCCTCTTAATCTCCTTCTCAGGCCCCTCCCATTTCTTGCCATCCCTGATTCACCCTTCCCATTCATTCTCTCTGCTGTCTACCGTTTCCCCATGGCAGGTGGCAGGCGCAGGGCGAGCTGTCAGCGCAGGCAATGGGATGCTTTTTGCGGCTGCGGCTGGGCAGGAAGGGCGAGCACATGGGGGGCACAGGGTACTGCATGGGACGAATCACAGGTGCGTGCTGGGCTGGGTGATGTCCCATCCCGTGCGCGTTTTTGTGTGTCCGATGTCTCACAAACCAAAGAACCCATTGTCCCACACGTCTTCAAAATCCTGGAGGAAAAGAGTGAGTTTTGAGACGTCTCAAAAGTAGTATACTGATGCGCATTTTGTCAGTCCGATGTCTCACAAACCAAAGAACCCATTGTCCCACATGTCTTCAACCTATTTTTGAGTCTACCAAAGAAACAAACAGAGAACCCGTTGTCCCACATGTCTTCAAAGTTTTGGAGGGAGTGAGAGGGAGTGAGAGGGAGTGCGAGGGAGTGAGAATGTGACAATATGAAATAGGATGACTACCCTCCTGTATGTCCTGCTCACCTTAAAAACGGTGCCACCACATCCCATCTGTTCACACCACGCATCCATCCCGTGTCTCTCTCGCTCTCGCTCTTGCTGCTTCCTCCTCTGCAGCGATTTCCAGCATGAGCAAGAAACCGCTTACAGCAGGCGCAGGGGCAGGAGGAGAGGGGAATGCTGCAGGGGCAGCCAAAGGAGGCCTGGCAGGGCCAGCAGGGGCAGCCAAAGAAGATCTAGCAGGGGCAGCAGCACTAGAAGTGGAGCTGTCGTCGTGTGTGGACTCTTCGCCTCTTGCTCTCGTGGTGGACCTGGGCGATCGAGAGTACACTGTGGATGGCCAGTTCCTCTCCAACAAGCCATTCCTCGAGGTAGGGTAAATCATCATCGCTTGTTGTGTGGTGTTTTTCCTGTTGCCTTTTAGCTGAGAATGTTTCATGGCCGTTTTTCCTGACTAACACCTCGTTTTATTGGGTCTTGGAATGCCCAGGTGGAGGTTTCTGATTTGTGCGAGAAGATGTGGAGGCGTGGGGGGAGTGCACTCCTTGACTCAGTGCTGTTGCATGAGCTCCTGCAATCCAAACTGCATGAACGGAAGTCATGGAAATGATTCAGAAGTTTGTTTCAAAAATCTCGTGGAGACATAAAATGGAAATGCAAAATCAAATCATGTGTTGCCTCAAAGTTCTTACAACACTCGAAAATGCATGAAAGGAAATTTTGTGGAGGCGAGGCGAGACTGGTGAAGTCCAACCTGCTGTATCTCAGATGACCTAAATGGAGTGGCTTGATGTTTTTTATGCTAACCTATGTTTCTATGTGATGATTTATTGACACAACTACCCAGCATGTAGACTTCGAGGTGCGTCGTTTTCACGACCTTTTAGAGGGGTCGGAGAAAGTGGAGTTTTGAGGGATGTCCGCCGTAAACACAGGCGCTTCAGCACCCAGAGTTGCTTCTACGATACGACGCGTGGCGGGCCCGCCAGACTGTACGTCCTCGCTGGAATCTGAAACCCGTAATTCCGAAGTTCCGGACCGGAGTGGTTTGATGAGATGACGTGCACCCGAAGACACGATGCCGCTATTTGCGCAAGAACGTCGATTTCGACGTGACCAAACGAAACATTAACACTTCCGAACGGGAGCGAACCGGATGAATCAACCAGACCAGGGGAACTCCGCCGCAACGCCACTGGTTGACCACAGCCACAAGGCAGAGATGAGGCGCAGTTCCGTATGACCGTGTCCAGGTCGGTGGATTTGCCAAATTCCTTCGCCAAATTTCGCCTCGTACCCTCAGCACGGCTGGTTGGTCCTCCATGTGGCTGCTAGCCTTGATGTTACCTCACCAGACCAACTGAAGTGTCGTTGAACCGCAGGCTCGCATCACAAATCAGGTTCGGCAGCCGTAGGCACTTCCACCATAGACCAAACCCACCTGGTTCGTATCCAACCCACACATGCATTCAGTGCACGCAACAGCTCTTCCTGCTTCTTCTGGCTCACATTTACCACATACCCCAAAGCACATCCACATCTTCCCAAGGTTCATGGCCTAAAAGTTACCGTTCTTTCCCTGCTTTCATGAGAGCAAAACTCAGATGATGGCGGCAACCATGGCTTCGTACTACGTCCCACAGGCTAGTCCTTTTTCTCTTACAGCCCTCCGTGTCTATGCATCTCCGATGCGTCCGCTGATACACCTCCTTTGATGTGTCCGTTGACACCTTTCTTTCCAGTTTCTTTGTGATATCAGAGAGCCGCGATGCGTTTGTAGTGCATGTCTTGTGCTGCAGCGTAAGCCTCCCCGGTTTGTAACAAAATTCCGGAGCGGTTGTTTCTTGTATGTCGGCACTTCGAACAGCTCTTTCATTCTCTTTGTCCAGCTATCCCATCCATTGTCCTATACCGCACACCGGCTTCTGAGATGTCTCAAAACGCATTCCAAAGCGATCCTCCTTTCTCGCGAGTCCTACCATTTCCGATCGCCCGATCGCGTACACGTAGGCGATCTTCATCGGGTAACCATGTCGTTACTCACTTTCGCGTACCTCTTCGCCACCACCAGGGTCCAACGGCCAACAGCTTATCGGACATGGGAAGAGAGCTGGAGGAGCTACGAGCGAGCTACCAGCAGGTGTGTTTCCGCGCGCTATTCTCGTATGTATGCCCTTGTTATTGTCGCTCCGCCGCTCCGCGTTTCTGTTACCGCTCTGTAGGGTTCAGCCGCATGTTTGAAACCTCGTGTAAGATAATGCAGTCCATACGCGGTTCAGGGTGACTGTATTTGCACTCTCATCCGTATCTGTATCAAGGTATGCTCGCATCTCGGTCCCGTACCTTCTCGCGTTGATGTGACCGTTGACTCACAGGCAATGTTCGATGTGTGACCGCTCGCTGATGCATCTGTGTTCGCATGCTCGCACGCGCAACCGTCTTCGCGTATCATGCATTCCTGTCGTGCATTCCCGTTGTGCATTCCCATCATGCATTCCTATCATGCATTCCCGTCATGCATTCCCATCATGCATTCCCATCATGCGTTCCCGCCATGCATTCCCATCGTGCATTCCCATCATGCATTCCCATCATGCATTCCCGCCATGCATTCCCGTCATGCACTCCCGCCATGCATTCCCATCATGCATTCCCATCATGCATTCCCATCATGCATTCCCATCATGCACTCCCGCCATGCATTCCCATCGTGCATTCCCATCATGCATTCCCATCATGCATTCCCATCATGCACTCCCGCCATGCATTCCCATCATGCATTCCCATCATGCATTCCCATCATGCATTCCCATCATGCATTCCCATCATGCATTCCCATCATGCATTCCCATCATGCATTCCCATCATGCATTCCCATCATGCATTCCCATCATGCATTCCCATCATGCATTCCCATCATGCATTCCCGCCATGCATTCCCGTCATGCATTCCGGTGATGCCTTTCCGTCCTGCATCCCCATCATGCATTTCATGTTTGCCTCCCTCTTGAATTTCGTAACTTCATGACCATGCGTGCAGGTGTGCGAGGAGAGGGACGCCTTAGAGGACCTTCTACTACAGGAGCAGCTCAAGAATGGCACCCCTGCTGTGAGCTCTTCCTCCTGCCATGTTAACGACTTCCGTTCTTGGACGTGCCTCGTGGGAAACATAATGCTCAACGGCCACGCTGTTGCTGCATTGCCCTTCTGGTTGCACGTTGTAGGACTCCTCCTGTTTTTTTGTTTGTTTGTTTGTTTTTTTTCCTCTTTTTTTTTTTTTTTTTTTTTTCCTTTACATGTCTGTTTTTATCTGTTTCGTCTGTTTGTTTCGACGTACTCTCTGATTTGTGTGTGATGTGATAGTGCAGTAGGCTCGGCCTTGTGTGACAAACGGCGGGTGTTTCTCCTTGGCTGTCTGATCCTCTGTGATTGTGCTGGCTGGCAGGACACGCAGGTGGAGGAGGCGAGGGCACATGCAGCAGCCTTGGAGATGGAGCTTCAAGCCATGGCCTCCCGCTGCGGTGAGTGGGCTGTCTGTCTGGCATTCACTCGTCCTGCCATGCCATGCCATGCCTTGCCTTACGCCATGCCATGCCATGCTTGTCTATCGATCAGACTCTGAACACTTTCCACTCATTCGTCCCCCTTTCTTGCAGAGCTTGTTTGGAGCGATCCCAACGATTTCTGCAAGAGCTCTTCCACGCCCACCGCTGAGCCCAACCAAGCTGAAAAATATAGAGATGCAGAAACATAGTTGAGAGCCCTCAAAACCTCCAGGTTTTTTTCTCCGCTGTTGAGACTGGACCTGGTCTTTCTCCTCTTTTTTGCTCCCTTCTCTCTTCTCCTGTCTGCGTGCAGAGGAGTCAGAGATGCATCCAGCCGTGCAGCAGGAGTTTTTTTCGCTGTCTCAAATCTTCTCTCCCCTCCACCTTCCTCCCCCTTCCCCCCTCCCCCTCCTTCCCCTCTCTCTCCCCTCCCTTCCCCCCCCGTGTGCAGAGGAGTGGAAGCGGAGGGCGGGTGAGCGGGCAGCGGAGATGCATCCAGCGTTGGTGCAGGCGCTACTGGGGGAGCTCGACGAATCCTCCTTCCCCCTCTAAATCCCCCCCCCTCTTCCCCTCCCCTCCCCCCTTTCCCCCAACACCCTCCCCCCCCCACACCCCCTCCCCCTACCCTGGGCACACAGATGAGTGGAAGCGGAGGGCAGGGGAGCGGGCAGCGGAGATGAATCCAGCCCTGGTGCAGGCGCTGCTGGAGGAGCGTTTGGAGGAGCTCGATGACTCTGGCGTGCTCGCCCTGCAGGTGAGCGGGTTGTGAGAGAGAGATGGGTGTGAGTTTGCTGTTTCGGTCCCTCGCTCCCTGCGTGTGTGTGTGTGCGTCTGTCTGCACGACGTGCTGTATTTTGAGTCGGGTCAAAGTGCTCCCTCCCTCCCGCCCTCCCTCCCTCCCTCCCTCCCTCCCTCCGTCCCGCCCTCCCTCCCTATGTGTCTGGCAGGTGGAATGCGCTCGTCTGCGCGACGAGCTGGCAAAATCTGAGGTGCTGCGCTTTGAGCTCTACCGCAGCCTGGAGCAGGGCGCAGGTGAGGGCAGGGGGGGCAGGGGGCAGGTGAGGGCAGGGGACATGGAGCAGGTGAGGTGCTGCGCTGTGAGCTCTACCGCATCTGGAGCAGGGCGCAGGTGAGGGCAGTGGGGAGCGAGCAAAGGATGCAGGTGAAATCAGGGGCAGGTGAGGGCAGGGCGCAGGTGAAATCAGGGGGGAAGGTGAGCCTTCTACTGCTCGGTTTGGTGCATAGTGCCCTGCACAGCTGGGTTCACCTGAGCTCTACTAACGCCCTCATCCCTGCCCGTCCTATTCCCCTCCGCACTCCCCTCCCTTCCCGCTTACCTCGCCTCCCCGACCTTCCTACCCCGAACTCTCTCCACGGTGTCCCAGTTGAAGTGGAGAGCCGGTGGGAGTCAGAGGCGTTTGAGTCGACTCAAATTTCAACTCTCCCCCCACACCCCCTTTCCTTTCCCCCCTTTCCCCTCCCCCCCCCCCCCCCCCCCCCCCCCCCCCCCCCCGGCACGGTGTCCCAGTGGAAGTGGAGAGCCGGTGGGAGTCAGAGGCGTCTGGCATGTCACCAGCGAGAGAAGGCAGCTTCAAGAGCAGAGACGCTGAGAGGTGGGGAGGCGGTGCAAAGGGGTTTGGTGGTGAGCAACTTGTGTGGCCTAACTGGAAGGCGAGTGGGCAGTGTGTCTTGTGCTGAACGTTCCCTGGGCTTTCGAGTTGCACTGATGTGGATCGGCTTGTGAAGCTTCTTTGCAACCTGTTTTCTCCCTCTCGAGCCGGTTCTTGCTAAGGTGCTGCTCTTGTATCAATGTGTTGATGCCTGTGCGTGTTCGTGCGTCTCAGCAGACTCAGCAATGACAGCCATGAAGATGCTCCAAGGCGCTTTGAGCTGAATTGAAAGGAGGCTTAGCAGGCTTAAGTTATCCTCCTCCTCCCCTCACTGCTGCTGCTGTCTCAGCAGGCTCAGCAATGCCAGCCATGAAGATGCTCCAGGGCGCTTTGAGTTGACTCACCTCCTCCTCCTCACCCCACCTGATCCTCCTCCTTCCCTCACTGCTGTTGGTGCGTCTCAGCAGGCACAGCAACGACAGCGATGAGGATGCTCCAGGCCGATCAACCACCCCTGTCATGGTGAGTCATGTCATGCCGTGCCATGTCGTACCGTACCGTGTCGTACCGTACTGTACCGTGCCGTGCAATGCGTCTCAGCAGGCACAGTAACGACAGCGATGAAGATGCACCAGGCCGATCAACCACCCCTGTCATGGTGAGCCATGCTGTTGCATGCCATGCCATGCCATGCCATGCTATTCAAATCAAACGCTCCTGCTGTCCCCTTCCCTGCCCTTCCCTTGCTTCTCTTTAGCCTCCCCCTCCCCTTCACCTGTAGTGCAGGAGCTGCTGGAGCTGGGCCAGGCATAAATTCAATTCCGTCCCCCTCTTCCACCATTCCCCCTCCCTCCCCCCCTCTCCCCTCCTCTCCCCCCTTCTCCCCCCCGGTACCCCCTCCCCATTCGCCCTCTGTGCCCATCAGATGGAGTGTGACGAGTCGGTGGTGCAGGAGCTGCTGGAGCAGGGGCAGGCGTGAGTGTGCCTCTCCTCTCCGCCTCCCCTTTCCACTTCCCATTCCCCTCTCCCTCCTCCGCCCATCAGATGGAATGGGTCGATTCAGTGCTCCAGCAGCTGCTGGAGCTGGGCCAGGCGTCACCGTGACTCTATTCCCCTCCCTCTGCCTTCTGTGCTCCATTCCCCTTTGTCTGCCATTCCTTGTCCCTCTCTGCCCATCAGATGGAGTGTGACGAGTCGGTGGTGCAGAAGCTACTGGAGCTGGGGCAGGCCTTAACTCAACTCCATCCTGCTCCCCTCGTCCCCTCTCTCCCCTCTCCCCTCTCCCCTCTCCCCTCTCCCCCCTCTGTTTCTCTCCGCCCATCAGATGGAGTGTGACGAGTCAGTGGTGCAGGAGCTTCTGGAGCTGGGGCAGGCGTCACTTACCCAGGAGGACGTCACTCGCCTCATGGAGACCGTGGAGGTGCGCTGGGGGGCCGGCTGTGGGTGGGGCGAGAATTGAGGGGAGGTAGACCGTGGACGTACGTTGGGGGGGCTGTGGGTGGGGCTGTGCGCTGGGGGGGGGATGTTGGGGGGAGGAGGGTGAGAGTTATGGGCTGTGGGGGAGGTGGAGGGCTGAGGCTGTGAGGAGCTTCTGGAGCTGGGCCAGGCGTCACTCACCCAAGAGGACGTCACTCGCCTCATGGAGACCGTGGAGGTGCGCCGGGGGAGCGGCTGTGGGTGGGGTGGGGCGGGAATTGGGAGAGGAGAGGCAGGTATGGGGTTGGGGCTATCAGGAGCTGAAAGGGGTGGGGCAGGCGTGGCTCATTTAGGGACGTCTCTCGCCGGACAGAGGCCGCGGAGGTGTGCAGTGGGGGCTGAGGGTAGGATGGAAGTTGACCGATGGGAGGTGGGGGAGGTAAGGTGAAGCCTTTGGTTTGAAATGGTGTGGGCCTGAGGCTGGGCCATAGTCGCTCACTGAGAGGACGTCACTCGCTTGACAGAGGCAGTGGAGGTGCGGTGGGGTTGTGAGAGGGGGGGGCGTGATTTATGGGTTGGAGGAGAGGCTTGGGGTTGAGGCGATCAGGAGCTGATAGGGCTGACAGAGGCCGTAGAGGCTCAAAAGAGAAGCTCTTTCAGGCGGCTCACACAGGACGGTTCTTGAGGTGTTTCAGGAGTCAGAACTCTTCCTGAGCCTCCATTCTCTATGCGTGTCTGATTTTGTGCCTCCTTTCCCGCAGGCAGCGGAGAGGCGGGCAGAGCAGGCGGAGAGGGAGGCGGAGCAACGAGCAGTGCAGGTGCAGCTGCTGGAGGCGAAGATGGCTGCCATGCTGGTATGCGGTGCTGTGCGGTGAGATGTGGTGATGTGCGATGAGCAGAGGTGAGATGTGGTTGTGCTGTATGAGTGCATGCATGCGTTCCCATGGCAAGCAGTGCAGGTGCAGCTGCTGGAGACGAAGATGGCCGCCATGCTGGTATGTGTGTATGAGGTTATATGCGGTGATGTGCGGTGATGTGCGGTGATGTGCAGTGAGATGTGGTGAGGCAAGGTGGGATGTGGCTGAGATGTATCATGTATGGGTGCGTGCGTGCATGGATGAGTCCTCATGGCGAGCAGTGCAGGTGCAGCTGCTGGAGGCAAAGATGGCCGCCATGCTGGTATGTGGTGATCATGTTGTCTGGTGATGATGGTATATGGTGATAATAATGAAGTAACCTCTTCCTCCTCTTTCCCTCAACCTCTTTACCCTTCACCCTCTCACTCACTCTTATTTGCTGTACTCACCCCCTCTACCCCCCCATTTTCTCTGCCCCTCCAGAACTCCAGCCCAATGGACGAGCACAAGCGCTCCCCCTCCCTCGTGTCCTCCTCGCCCATCTCCTTCCGCCTCTCCCCCGTGGCCTCCTCCTCCTCCCCTGACCCCGCCTCCCTCACTCGCTCCAGCAGCAGCAGCGCCACCTCCCAACACAGCCAGCAGCAGCAGCAAGCCCCCTTCCAGGAGCAGCAAGCAGGGAGGCGAAATCAAGATGAAAGGGAGCGATTACTACAGTTGACAGGAAGAGGGGACAGAAGAGCAGGAGGAGTGGAAGGCGAATCAAACGGAGCAGCTCTGGGTTCAAAGTTTACTGGAAGAGCCAGGGCAAACGGTGGAATGGTGGCATCAGCAAGAAAGGGAGGCGACTTGACGCATGACGCAGTAGCCAGAAGAGGCGCTCTGGGTTTGACTGTGGAGGAGCAGGAGAAGGAGGAGGAGGTAGAGGGACTGGAGGAGGAGGAGCAGGGGGAGGATGGGGTGGAGGATGGGGTGGAGGAGTTGAGACAGATGGTGCAGAGAGTGCAGAGGCAGAACCGCATCACCCATGTGCTCCTGTCAGTGGTCGTTGCCGTCTCTATTCCACCTCTTGTGGCCTTGGTTCGGGGGTGGTTCGGTGGTTGGGGTCGGCGGTACGAGCCTAAGAGGCCGGGGGTAGGGTCGGCTCCGAAGCAGGCTGCACGGGTTTCGATTCGGAACAAGTAGGTGGAATGGCAGATGTGACTTGGCAGACAGAGTGTACCCTGTGTGGGTGTTTTCAGCAATTGTGAATTGTGCTGGCTGCAGCAGAACTAGCAGCTGCAGCAGAACTAGCAGCGGCAGCGACAGCAGCAACCACTCTGAGCATCAGCAGCATCAGCAGCAGCCGCAGTAGCAGCAGCCATTGTGACATCCCATCTTTGAGGCAGCCAAGAAATCATCACCACTGCTCCCTGCCACCAACCACCATCATGACCACTCCCACCGCACCCAACACCACTCCAGCCGCATTGTGTTGAGGCAGCCAATAATCATGACCTCTGTCGTCACCGCCCTTCATGATTTTCATTTTGAGGCTCTCCAAAAACCATCTGGCCATTCCTCCGCCACCCAACAGCATGAGCCCCGATTGTGACTGAGCCGCCTACAGATTGAGCAGCAACGGTACTTCGACCATCTATCATGACCACAGTTGACCACAGAAAACCACAGAAGTCTTTTTAGCATCTCATGACCATGACCACTGGGACCACCTCTCAAGAAGGTTGTCTCACAAATGAAGTTGTTTTTTCAGCATTGAGACGACTATTCTTCAGCATCAGCAGCTGTGAGCAGCAGCGGCCTCACCACACCACTGTCACCCGCACAATCAGACACCACCATCACTACGAGCACCATGTACGGCAGCGCCAGCAGCAGCAGCCGCAACGGCAGGCGTTGGAGCCGGGACCATCATGTGTGGGTGCGTGCAATTATTGGACCATCCATTCTATCACTCCTGCCTGCCAGCCAGCATCTTGACCCATGGCTCCCTTCCATCCGTTCCATGTCCTGCGATGCATCGCCGCCCATCCTTCCACCACCAGCCGCGTGTGCTGCTGTGAGTTGACCATGCGGCACCACACAGCAACATGCAGCACCATGCAGCAACTTGTTGCACCATGCCGCACCATGCCGCACCATGCACATGCCACACCATGCAGCACCATGAACCATTCTGCACTGCCATGCATCACCATTGACCAGCATGACGCATGCTTGCACGTAGCACATCCATCCTGCCATGCACAGCCTCGCATCCATCCATTCATTCCGCCATCCAGCCATCTTCCCACCTGACCTGAGCCTAAGCCCTCGATAAAGCGAACTTGTGTTTCACCACAGCAGCAGAAAGAGATTTGCTAGAAGAGCAGAGCAATCGGATAGCTCTGTTTCAACCTCATTCTCCCACGCACCAGCTTCTCTCCCACCCGCCCGCCGGGCAGCTATCTGCCCAGATGCGAACTTTCGTGCGCTGGAGGACTGCATTCGTCCTTCACGTAGGGTTCCTTGTCCGAGCGGCGAGCAACTTGTGGCCCCACACCACCGCAGACCTGAAGACTGCAGGAGAAACGAACCTACTTAGCAAGGTTTTGCCTGCTCTCGTGACGATTTTTAGGTTCACCGCCTCGTGGTGTCCTGTTCTTAGTTTGTTACCTTTTTGACACAATAGGAGGTTTAGCCACTCGCTAGTTATTAGTGCTTTGTTTTATAGGATTCGTGTTGCCCTATTGTAGTATATGCTAGTGTTTTTACTATTATTGAAGGTGCAGTAGTTCCAGTCTCGAGTTGGATTGTAGAAGGGCATGGTCCAGCTCTTCCCGCCAAAACGTACCGATTGAATGGCCACACGGCCATTCAGCATTGACGCGGTTGCGGTTGGCTTCGGCAGGAGGAAGGGTGGGCGAGCACGCTGTACACACGATGCTGCGTCTCGGCAATTCCAAGGGCTACCTTCAGGGCGTAATCAGTTTAATAATACTTGTAGCTCAGCTGCACTGCAAGCTGCACTGTTCTTTGTGAATTCTGGTTTGTGGCTTCACGTTTGCTGAAAGAAGCGAATGGCCGCGAAGAGTAATGTTTTTATGTTACAAGGATGTTATTAGCTGGGAACAACTCCTCAACTCAGGTAGTAGCATGCTGCAGGCGTTTTCCCAGCCAAAATGGCCTACGCACAAACAACCAAGCACCACCAACTCACCAATAGCATCTCATTACCTCACCTATAACCGGCTTTTTCCTCACCGCGTTTCCTTGATTCATTCAGCCACGTCAACCAGTGACTAGCAAAACCGTTGTTGCGTTTTCGTTGGGCTTGGCTTTTGTTCTAGTTTATGCGATACCGCAAGCATCACTTCCTTTCACGCCATTCACCATTCCCGTCGTCTGAATCGTTCCTATGAGTTCACTCAGAAGCCACTTCTCCGTTCGCCATTCCTATTATATCACGCATTTTTATTCGTATGAGGCCTCGCTTCTGACCGCTCGCATCTCTGTCGCAGTCGCTGCTCATTGTCGCAGATCATGACGACGTCGCTGTCTGTGATAGTAACGAATAGCCACCCAATCATCTGCAGCAACGGAAACAGGAGATGCAAGTCATTGGAAAGTAATATCAGCAATAGCAGTAGCACTAACAACAGGTACAGCAACGGCAATAGCAGTAACAGCAGCAGCAGCGACAGACGTACTGATAGACTTGGTTCTAGAAGCGAAAGCGCGATCGACGCTCATATTCAAGTCACTGTAGCGAAAGGCATCGCCGGGGCGACGACCTTTAAGGCTAGCACAAGAAGGCAACGCAGAAGCTTCGATATAGTCACAGCCACAAACGACAGCCTTAGAATGTCCGCAACATGTATTTTAAGATAGCACACCCGCTTGAGGTTCCAGGGACTGCCAAACCTGACCACTCCGAGCCTGTCCCTGCCGATCCTGGCTCGCCACCAGGCATGGCTGCCGAACCTGCAAGTTCGCAGCGTAGAATAAACAGCTGGTTCCGGAGACTACATAGACCACATAGATTACAGCTTTTCCTTCTACTGTTTATACAAGTGTTTCTTATAAAGCGGACGGCTGCTCAGAGCCCTGCGGATGTGGATAAAGCTGCACTGTTGAACTTTAAAGCCCACGTGACAGACGACCCTACAGGTGAGAAAGGCGATTCTCCGACATACCCCTTAAAATCTACTTCTTTTATTGCACATTTCGGCCATCCTCACCCATGCTCCCCCGTGTTCTTTACCTGTGTTGCTAACCCATTTAATTTACCCATTCCCTCCTTACCTGTGTTGCTAACCCATGTGCTTTACCCATTCCCTCCCCTTTTTCTCCCTTCCCCCATCCCCAGGTGCTCTTTCCAACTGGAACCCCGACGACCCCGAACCATGCAGCTGGACGGGCGTTAACCGCATTCTTCTCCCTAACCTTTTTCCCTGGTCCTTTCCCACCCCACCTCCTCCACGCCACCCTTTCCCTCCCCCTTCCCCACCCCTCCCAATCACACAGGTGCGCTTGACAACTGGAACCCCAACGACCCAGACCCATGCAGCTGGACGGGCGTCGACTGCAACCCCTTCTCTCGCCGCGTCACCTCCCTCTCCCTCCCCTACCGCACTCTCTCCGGCACCCTCGACCTCCCAGACCCGTCTCTCGCCTCCCTCTCAGACCTCCTCCAACTCTCCCTCCCCGGAAACTCCTTCCCAGGCTCCTTCCCCTCCGCCCTCTCCCGCCTCTCCTCGCTTCAAACCCTGGAGCTATCAGAAACGGAGCTCTCAGGGGAAATCCCCGGAAATACCCTCTCCGCCCTCCGCCGGGTAGCCGTTCTAGACCTGCGCAAAAACGCCCTCTCGGGGCCAATACCCCCGGAAATCTCAGCTCTCAACTCCCTAATCAAGCTGGACTTGCGAGAAAACGCCCTCTCCGGCCCTCTCCCTTCCGAAATGCAGTCACTAGGGCAGGTGCAGGATATTCTATTAGACTACAATCAGCTCTCAGGTCCCCTCGCGCCAGCGCTCCTAGTCTCGCTCCCTATCGTCCAGACCATATCGGTCCGGGGGAACGGGTTCGAAGGGGAGGTGCCGAAGGAATTCGGGTATGCGCAGCAGCTTTCGAGATTGGATTTGGGCGGGAACAGGCTGCAAGGGAGCATTCCCGAGACGTTTGGGCAGATGTGGAGTTTGACGTCTCTTAGGTTGGACTCGAATCGGATTGGAGGGACGATTCCGTCAAGGCTGAATACTCTGGCGCAGCTGCAGGTGCTGATGCTGAACGGAAATGATTTGGTAGGGCAACTTCCCCGGTTTAATGGGCTGGAGAGTCTGGTTCAATTCGACGTTTCAAATAATGATTTGTTCGGGTCGACGCCGACGGAAGGGCCTCTGGCGAAGTTCCCTCCATCCTCGTTTGAAGGCAATCCGGGGTTGTGTATTGGGGAGTGTCCGCCATCTCCCCCTTGGTGGCTGCCCAGTCCGCCCATGTCTCCCCCAAGAGCCCCCCCGCCCCCCTTTGTCTCCCCATTTGCTCCCCCTCAGATTCTCCCCCCTCCGCCTGCCTCGCCCTCCCCCCCTCCCCCCGTTCAACCTCCCCCTCCCCTTCCTTCTCCTCCTCCCCTTCTTCCCCCTCCTCTTCCGCCTTTCCCTTCCCCGCCTGTGCTTCTCCCAGCTCCCCCTTTCCCTCCCCCCAAGCCCCCCTCTCCCCCCCGGAAGCGCCCGCCCCCATTTCCCCGCTTTCCTCCTCCGCATCCGCCCCCTTCCCCCCCAACCTCCCCGTTCTTCCCCGAAATCACCCCCCCAAGCCCCCCCATTCCCCCCCCGCCCAAGCGCACTCACCCCCCAAGGCCCCCCCGCCACCCCCGCCCCCCTTGGCCTCCCCCCCAACCCGTCCCCCCACCCCGCCCCCCCAAACATCCCCCTCTTCCACCCCGCAAGCCCCCCACTCCTCCACGCCCTCCCCCCAAACCGCCACTTGCCCTTCCGCCACTCGCCCCTTCCCCTGCCCCTGCCCCAAGCCCTTCCCCCGCTGTCTCCCCCTCCCCAAGCCCTTCCCCCTCGCCTGCACCAGCTCCCGCCCCTTCCTCCTCCCCCTCCCCTGCTCCCGCCTCCTCCCCCTCCCCTGCTCCCACCTCCTCCCCTTCCCCTGCTCCCACCCCCTCCCCATCCCATTCCCCTGCCCCTGCTCCTGCTCCCCTTCTACCTCCTCCTCTTGCTCCACCGCCCACTTCCCCCACTCCTACTCCCTCCCAAGCACCCGCTCCTCTCCCCACTCCTCTCCCTCCTCCTCCCACTCCTCCCTCCAACTCCCCACCACCACCATCACCACCTCTCGACTCGTCTGGAAACTTAGATGTATCCTCTTCCCCTGCTCCTCCTCCCCCCACTACAAGCACCAACCCCTATAGTAACAACAACCTGGCCTGGTGGCAGCTGCTGGCGTTATGTGCTGCCTCGTTACTAGCAACTCTGCTCTTTGCAGCGCTCTTCACATTCGGCTGTCCTTATCTGTGCGGCATGGCAGCCCGGGCGAAGCATAGGTATAAAGGGGTGCCTACTAACGAGGACGCGGCTCTGAAAGCAGAAGCTGATGCAGCAGCTGCGGCGGCAGCAACGGGGGCAGCAGGCGGGGCAGGAGCAGGTGCTTATAGTGGGCCATACAGTAACGAGTATGGAATGGAGGGTACAGAGGGAGGAGGAGGAACGGGAGGAGAAGGAACAACAGGAGGAGGAGAGGGAGCAGCACTGGTAGGAGCAGCAGCAGCTGCAGGGGCAGTTGGTATAGGCGCCGCTGCTGCTGCAACAGCAGCTGCCACGCGCTCAAAATCAACAGAAGAATCAAACGAGGATGACTCTAACGAGGATATAGCCATAGCTGCCATCGCAGGAGCAGGAGCAGCAGGGGGAGCAGGGGCGGAGGGCAGCTCGTCGCTGGTAACCATGTTTGACGGGCGGTCGGTGCGGGCATCCGCGTTACTAGCAGCCACGGACGAGTTTGGTGCGAGCAAGATGATCACGCGGGGCCCGGGGCCCAGTGGCAGCACGGCTTTTGTGGCGGACATGCTGGCGGATGGTCCAATGCTCGTGGCTAAGCTGCTGCCCACCGTAACAGAGCAAGGCGAGGACGGGGAGGAGTTCCCCGTTCCAATGAACCTGAATATGGAGGTGAGAATAAGTGTCTGGACTCGGAGTGGTTGGTGTGTCAGCGGGTGTTGGTGTTTCGGTGGAGAGGAGGTGAGTGCAGAAGGCAGGGGGCCGGGGCCGAGTGGCAGCACGGCGTTTGTGGCGGACATGCTGGCGGATGGTCCAATGTTGGTGGCTAAGCTCCTGCCCACCGTCACGGAGCAAGGCGAGGATGGGGAGGAGTTTCCTGTTCCCATGAATCTGAATATGGAGGTGAGTGAGTTTATGTGAACATGCGTTTGTGGCGGACATGCTGGCGGATGGGATGGGCCCATGCTCGTGGCCAAGCTGCTGCCCACGGTGACCGAACAGGGGGAAGATGGAGAAGAGTTCCCCGTGCCTAAGAGCCTACAAGTCTGGACTTTAGACATGCTGGCGGATGGGATGGGATGGGCCCATGCTCGTGGCCAAGCTGTTACCTACGGTGACCGAACAGGGGGAGGATGGAGAAGAGAAGAGTTTCCCGTGCCTATGAATCTGAACATGGAGGTGAGTGCACAAGGCAGGTTGGGCCCCAACCGTTGGGGGAAGGTGGGCCGGGGCCGAGTGGCAGCAGCACGGCGTTTGTGGCGGACATGCTGGCGGATGGGATGGGCCCATGTTGGTTGCCAAGCTGCTACGTACTGTCACCGAGCAAGGGGAGGATTTTGGACTGCAAACATAGAGGTGAGTGTATGCACATGTGGCTGTTGCTGATGCCATGGTCCTCCACAGCTGATGAGTATATGAGTCTTGTTTGGACGCTGGAAGTGCAGGTGGTGAGCATGTGGACTTGTGGCTGTTGGCGTTGCGGTGGCGGGCGGTTTTAAGTGCAGTCGTTAAGTTGGTGACTGACTGTTAAGCTTGGTTTAGCTGCCATGGCTCCAACGGTGCTGCACGAATGAGCTACCTAAACGGGCTGCACGAATGAGCTACCTAAACGGGCTGCACGAATGAGCTACCTAAACGGGCTGCACGAATGAGCTACCTAAACGGGCTGCACGAATGAGCTACCTAAACGGGCTGCACGAATGAGCTACCTAAACGGGCTGCACGAATGAGCTACCTAAACGGGCTGCACGAATGAGCTACCTAAACGGGCTGCACGAATGAGCTACCTAAACAGGCTGCACGAATGAGCTACCTAAACGGGCTGCACGAATGAGCTACCTAAACGGGCTGCACGAATGAGCTACCTAAACGGGCTGCACGAATGAGCTACCTAAACGGGCTGCACGAATGAGCTACCTAAACGGGCTGCACGAATGAGCTACCTAAACGGGCTGCACGAATGAGCTACCTAAACGGGCTGCACGAATGAGCTACCTAAACGGGCTGCACGAATGAGCTACCTAAACGGGCTGCACGAATGAGCTACCTAAACGGGCTGCACGAATGAGCTACCTAAACGGGCTGCACGAATGAGCTACCTAAACGGGCTGCACGAATGAGCTACCTAAACGGGCTGCACGAATGAGCTACCTAAACGGGCTGCACGAATGAGCTACCTAAACGGGCTGCACGAATGAGCTACCTAAACGGGCTGCACGAATGAGCTACCTAAACGGGCTGCACGAATGAGCTACCTAAACGGGCTGCTACTTGCATCAACCAAATTCTTGGTCATTGACTCTCAAATTCGTACATTTCCATCACTTCCCATCAGGAAATGGCTGAACGTGGATAGAAATTCGTACCTTCCCATCAGCCATGGCATCACCACCCGAACGTGCTGCCGCTGCCTCTTGTTGCATCACATGTACATAGAGTTTCTATCCTTAACCCCCACCCACATGCCCATCACCCCACCAGGAAATGCACGCGCTGGCGGAGATAGATCACCCGAACGTGCTGCCGCTGCTGGGGTGCTGGGAGGACGAGATCACCGGCAGGCGCATGCTGCTGTACGAGCTCATGCCCAATGGGGACCTCAACGACTTCCTCTATGATGAGGTGAGAGGTGCATCAGCATGAGCAGTGACCAGTGCATCAGTGGCCGTGTCGTGTGGTGTTGACATGGAGGCAGGCTCGTGCTGCTGTACGAGCTCATGCCCAATGGGGACCTCAACGACTTTCTTTACGATGAGGTATGGGGTATGGTCACATGAGTGGTGGCATGGTGGCTTGGATGACTGACCAGCAGGTGCTGCTGTACGAGCTCATGCCCAACGGGGACCTCAACGACTTCCTGTATGACGAGGTATGGCCTCTGGACCACTGTGGTTATAGGGGCATGATGCGAGTGGTGGCCTGGTGTCATGGGTGGCAGGCAGGCGCGTGCTGCTGTACGAGCTCATGCCCAACGGGGACCTCAACGACTTCCTCTATGATGAGGTATGGGGTATGGGTGGAGCTACCCGTAGTTGTGCTGTCACGATGGCATGGATATGCGCGTGCTGCTGTACGAGCTCATGCCCAATGGGGACCTCAACGACTTCCTGTATGATGAGGTGAGAGGGGCTCTGGTTATGTGAGTGCACGGCCGGGGGCATAGGTGGGGATGTGCAGATGATGCCATGGCTGGCAGGCGTGTGCTGCTGTGTGTGTGCAGCACATTCCCTTCACTCCTCACATCCCGCCTTTGCTCCTTACTTCCCGTCCGCCCTCCTTCCCCAACAGGAGCTCTCTGAGAACGCCTGGACATGGGACGCCCAGGCGCTCCCATGTCCGCACAGGAGCTCTCTGAGAACTCTCTAGCATGGGACGCCAGGAGGAGGGTCGCCTTGGGGATAGCCCAGGGAGTGGCGCATCTGCACGCGCTCACTCTCCCGCGCCCACCCGGCTCCCAGCTCGCCCCGCAACCTCTCGTGCACAGATTGTTCCGCCCCTCACATCCCATGTGCTCCGTTCCCTCCTCCCATTCCCCCTTCCTTTTCCCCTTTTCCAACAGGATCTTTCCGAAAACTCCCTCACATGGGATGCAAGGAGGCGCGTCGCCTTGGGAATAGCCCAGGGAGTGGCGCATCTGCACTCGCTCTCTCTCCCGCGCCCACCCGGCTCCCAGCTCGCCCCGACCCGCTCGTGCACGGGAGAGTGGCGATTGAGTCATGGCGCATGGGGATAGCTGGCATTCACCACTCGCTTGTCACTTTTCCTGCCCCCTTCCCTCCATTCTCTCTCCCTTCCGCCGTCCTTTTGTCAATAGGAGCTTTCTGAAAACTCCCTCACATGGGACGCCAGGAGAAGAGTCGCGTTGGGCATAGCTCAGGGCGTGGCGCATCTGCACACGCTCTCTCTCCCTCTCCCGCCTGGTTCCCAGCTCGCCCCCGACCCTCTCGTGCACGGGTCGCTGCACCCGGGGAACATCCTGCTGGGGGATGATGGGGAGGCGCGGCTGACAGACACTGCTGGCGCTCGTATCGCCTTTGATTCTGACGATGTGCACGTGGCTCCAGAAACGTTGGGATACACGCCTCCTGGTGAGTATGTCTGTCAGGGCGTACGTCTGTGTATTGTGGGCAGTAAGACGGCCCTGGCAAGTGGCCGGTGTCTGGGGTGGGACGGCCTTTGATGACCCGCTCGTGCACGGGTCGCTGCACCCGGGGAACATCCTGCTGGGGGATGATGGGGAGGCGAGGCTGACGGACACGGCTGGGGCGCGCATCGCCTTTGACTCAAATGATGTGCATGTGGCTCCTGAGACTCTGGGGTATACTCCTCCTGGTGAGTGCCTGGTGCCTGGTCAGGGGTAAGACGTCCATTGGTGAGTGTGCGGGCCCCGACCGTCTGATGGGGAGGCGAGATTGACGGACACTGCTGGGGCACGCATCGCCTTTGACTTAAATGATGTGCATGTGGCTCCTGAGACTCTGGGGTATACTCCTCCTGGTGAGTGCCTGGTGCCTGGTCAGGGGTAAGACGTCCATTGGTGAGTGTGCGGGCCCCGACCGTCTGATGGGGAGGCGAGATTGACGGACACTGCTGGGGCGCGCATCGCCTTTGACTCAAATGATGTGCATGTGGCTCCTGAGACTCTGGGGTATACTCCTCCTGGTGAGTGCCTGGTGCCTGGTCAGGGGTAAGACGTCCATTGGTGAGTGTGCGGGCCCCGACCGTCTGATGGGGAGGCGAGATTGACGGACAATGCTGGGGCACGCATCGCCTTTGACTCAAATGATGTGCATGTGGCTCCTGAGACTCTGGGGTATACTCCTCCTGGTGAGTGCCTGGTGCCTGGTCAGGGGTAAGACGTCCATTGGTGAGTGTGCGGGCCCCGACCGTCTGATGGGGAGGCGAGATTGACGGACACTGCTGGGGCGCGCATCGCCTTTGACTCAAATGATGTGCATGTGGCTCCTGAGACTCTGGGGTATACTCCTCCTGGTGAGTGCCTGGTGCCTGGTCAGGGGTAAGACGTCCATTGGTGAGTGTGCGGGCCCCGACCGTCTGATGGGGAGGCGAGATTGACGGACACTGCTGGGGCGCGCATCGCCTTTGACTCAAATGATGTGCATGTGGCTCCTGAGACTCTGGGGTATACTCCTCCTGGTGAGTGTTTTCTCTTTGGGAAAGACGTCTAGGAGAGGAGTGTGTGGTGCACGGGTCACTGCAACACGGGTTGCTGCACCCGGGAAACATCCTGCTGGGGGACGACGGGGACGCGAGGCTGACAGACACGGCTGGGGCGCGCATTGCCTTTGATTCCGACGATGTGCATGTGGCTCCTGAGACGCTTGGGTACACCCCTCCTGGTGAGTGTCGACTAAAACTTGGGGTAAGACAACCGTATCGCGTTTGACTCGGATGATGTGCGTGTGGCGCCTGAGACGCTGGGGTACGCGCCCCCTGGTAAGTGCCTGGTCAGGGGTGAAACGTCCCCTTGGTGAGTTTCTGGTGTCTGGGATAAGAAAGAGGTCACCTTTGGTGTGCATGGGTCGCTGCACCCGGGGAACATCCTGCTGGGCGACGATGGGGAGGCGAGGCTGACAGACACTGCTGGCGCTCGTATCGCCTTTGATTCTGACGATGTGCACGTGGCTCCTGAGACGCTGGGGTATACGCCACCTGGTGAGTGTATGATCGGGTGGGTGAACGTGTGCGTGGAGTAGGGAGGAGCAGGCAGCAATGCTCACTCCCTCCCTGCCCCTGCACCCTTCCCCCTTCCCTCCCATCCCTCCTCTCCCTCCCGCATTCCCCTATCCCCTTTTGTCCGGCCCGACAACAGCCACACCAGTGGGAGACGTGTTCAGCTTCGGAGTCGTGTTGCTTGAACTCCACAAAGTGAGGCCGCCCCTAGACCCGTGGTTTGCGGAAAACGAGCTGGGGGACGTGATCGGGCGGGTGAACGTGTGCGTGGAGGAGGGAGGAGCAGGCAGCAATGCTCACTCCGTCCCTGTCTCTGCCCCCCCTGCTCCCCCTCTTTTTCCCCGTACCCACCTTCCTGCTCCCCCCCAGAGTACATGTCAGGCCCCACAACAGCCACCCCAGAGGGAGACGTGTTCAGCTTCGGAGTCGTTCTCTTAGAGCTTCTCACCGGCCGCCCTCCCCTAGATCCGTGGTTCGCAGAGAACGAGCTGGGGGACGTGATCGGGTGGGTCAACGTGTGCGTGGAGGAGGGGGCGGCGGGGGACGTGTTGGACCCGCGTGTGGCGGACATAGCGGAGTGTGAGGGCGAGATGCTGTATCTCCTCCCACTGCATGTCCCCATGCACAGCCGTCCCGACGCCATCCCTTCGTCGAGGCGCCAGGCGAAGCATCATCTTGATGTTGCAAGAATGGGCGAGGCGGCCTTCTTGCTCGCGTCTGCGCCCGCTGTCGCACCTGCCCCCGAGATGCAGCATCTTCTCGCGCACATTACGCTACTCTTCCTCACCGCTCCCTGGTCTCAGCTTTCTCGCAGTCGTGAGATCTTGTTTCTTAATAACGCCCATCATCCCCGCGAGGCTCATGCGTTGAGGCGCCTCCGAAACTGCAGTTTAACTTTCTCCCAGCTTGAATTTTTTACTTAGTCAGACCCACCCTTCCCGCGAGACTCTCTGCTTGGTTAGTCTTCGCCAACAGTATCGGTTTTGGGCTTCGGTACTAGTCCTTTCGACGCACTGCACAATCCTTCTTTTGAGTCAATTTTAAAGTCGACGCCGCAAAATCCGTCGTCATGACGAAGCTCTCCTCTCACGCGTTCGCATCGTCGCTAGCACGTCAGGTCGCACGTTTCTTCGCGGCGTCATCACACCCAGCAGAAGCGGCGACGGCGGGTGCGGCGGCGGGTGCCGCTGCGGCGGCATCGCCGGTTCCCAAGCAGCAGACGTTACGCGCCACGGCGGCGACTTTTCACTGCAAAGAGCTCTTCGAGGGCTCCTCTGCATGCAGCGGCGGCAGCGCGCGCTCGCTTCATGGCCAAGCGGACGCGCGACTGCCGTCGCAACCATCGCCGCCGTCGTTGCCGCTGGCGCCGGCGCCACAGCAGCAGCGGCAGCAGCCTTCGTTCACTCGCAGCAGCGCGACGAGCAGCCTCACCACCACGCGAGGCGTCGCCTCGGATGCTGCGGCGCAGAAAACGGCGAGCGGGCCAGCGGCGGCGGCAGCGCCGTCGAAGGAGTGGCATCTGGTGCCGCTGGGGTACCGCCCCGCGCACGCCGTGGCGCTGCAGGAGCGCATCGAGGAGATGTGGGAGTCGCGCGTCGGGCGGGAGGCGCGCCACGTGGGGCGGGAGGGATTGGAGAGGAAGAAGAGCGGTGTGGGAGCGGAAAAGGGCAGCAAGGAGGAGGAGCGGCGCGAGCTGGAGGCGCTGAACTGGGCGTTCAGTCAGCTACCTGTGTCCGTGTTCCCGTGCCAGCATAAAGGTTCGTCCACTCGCATCAAACTGTGTGCTCCTATGAGCACTTCGAGGCATCAAGGTTTGCCTCCCCTCTCTCCTCCCCACCAGTGCTCTAAGTCCCTCTGTCGGACGCCCTGCTTCTGCTCCAGTATGCGGGCCTCACATCAGCGCCCGTCAGGGACGTGGCGGTGGGGGGTGACGCGCCTCACATATCCCTTCCGTGTCCTGCTCCCCGTCCTTCCCGGGCCTCCCCGTCCCCCCAGTGCTCGAGGTGCCCTCCAACGCCCCTCTGTCGGACGCCCTGCGTCTACTCCAGCACGCTGGCCTCACAGCAGCGCCAGTCAGGGACGTGGCGGTGGGGGACGACGCCCCCTTGCAGCAGCGGTTCCTGGGCATGGTGGACGGCGCGGGCATCGTGCTGTGGGTCATGGGGCAGGTGAGGCGTGAGGTAGGTGAGAGGCAATTGATAGGATAGGTAAGGGACCACAGGCGTGTGACTAGTGTGAACTAGGCAGTGCGAGGGGAATAAGGGTGGGGCACGACGCGCCTCTGGGCATGGTGGATGGCGCGGGCATCGTGCTCTGGGTCATGGGGCAGGTGCAAAAATAGGTGACCATGGGGCGTGTGGTGGGTGAGAGAATGGAAAAGCAAGTCATGGGGGATAGAATGGTTTGTCCCAACTCATTCACGTCCCCTTTTCTGACCCAGCTGGCCATGCCTCGGTTGAAGTCCAGATGCCATTCCATGACAAGTTTTGTTTTGTTTTTTTTTGTTTTTTGTTTTTGGTTTTTGTTTTTTTTTGTTTTTTTGAGTTGTCCGTTTGTTTATATTTTTCTCTTGATTTGTCCACGGCTCCAATCCATCTGGCAGCTGCAGCACCTGCTTATGCCTGCTCCCTCCCACTCTTCTTAGCTCGACCAGATGGAGGCTTGGATGAAATATTGGATGGCAGCCGCAGCAGCAGGGGAAGGGTTGGCAGTGGCGGGGCTGAGGGCAGCAACACTGGAAGGGCTTCACCGAATGCCCGTTTCCGTATCACTCATGACAAGCAACCCCCCCCCCACCCCTCCTCGCCACTCTTTCCCCTCTCGTTGCAGCTCAACCTTAATCTCGCCCACCCACCCTTGCCCGTCGCCAACCTTGTCTCGGCGGATGCCATGACCCCTGCGTCCATGCTCTTTATCTCCCTCGCCGCCCTCCTCGTCCTCCTCCGCCTTCTCCTTCTTCTTCGCCGGCTTACCCTTGCCGCCCGTCTTGTCCTGATTCCCTTCCGCCTTCTTCCCTTTCTCTTCCGACATCAACTTCCCCGCAGACATCGCCCGCGTGCTTCTCTGAGAGACCGCCTTCCCTTTCCCGTTGTCGTCCTTTTCCTTCCGTCCAGCATTTCTCTCGGCGACAGCACCACCCGTTGCGACCGTCGGCTCCGCTGAACCCCCTCCGTGGGTCGCCGACGGCACCACATGCGCAGTGTCCATGATGGCCAGAGCAGGGGCGTGCTCGGGGCGTTTTGCTGCCTCAAAATGGGCCAGGACGACAGCGAGGTCGGCATGCTTGTCGGCGCGGCCGCCGGTGGCTAGCGCAGCACTCACTCCCTTCTCCGCCGCCACATCGACCACAGATGCACCTAGTGTGGGTGCGGTCGCGTTTACCGACGTCGGCGTCGCGCTTTTGCCGAGTTCCGGCTGAGTCACCGGTGGAGCTGCCGCTTTTCGTGCGCCTAAATGGGCACGCAGAAACGCGGACTTAGGGTCCGCAGGCGGTGGGGCGGCCACCGGAGGTGCGGCAGGTGGGGCACCGGACGACGTGCCGGCAACCACACTTGATGCCTTCCTTTGTTTTGATCCCCCCCTCCGCCGTCCCTTGTCTTCAGCTCGAGAGTTCATCCATTGAGGTTAAGATGGCAGCAGCAGCAGGAGGAGGGCTGGCAGGACTGGCGTTGGGAGGGCTGGGTGCAGCAGCACTGGAGATGCTTCTCTTGATGTTCATTTCTGCTCCGCTCATTGCCTTTTGAGTCGACTCAAAAGTCACCTCGCGACTGGCGTTGGGAGGGCTGGGTGCAGCAGCACTGGAGATGCTTCTCTTGATGTTCATTTCTGCTCCGCTCATTGCCTTTTGAGTCGACTCAAAAGTCACCTCGCGACTGGCGTTGGGAGGGCTGGGCGCAGCAGCACTGGAGATGCTTCTCTTGATGTTCATTTCTGCTCCGCTCATTGCCTTCTCCCTCCTCCCCCCTCCCTCCCGTTACGCTCCCTTTACGCCCCTCCCCCCTCCCTCTTTCTCCCCTTCCCCAGCTCGAGCGTTCATCCATTGAGGTTAAGATGGCAGCAGCAGCAGGAGGAGGGCTGGCGGGACTGGCGTTTGGAGGGCTGGGCGCCGCAGCACTGGGCGCGCCAGATGTTGCCATGTTGGCAGCCATGTGGGCGGGATCGATGGCGGGATCAATGGCTGGCGGCGGAAGCACTGAAGGTGCTTCATCTGATGCTCATTTCCGTCTCATTCAATACCTTTGGCAACCCCCCACCTTCTCCCTTCCCCCCTCTCCTCCCTCTCCACCTTTCCCCGTTTTTTCCCCAGCTCGACCGTTCATCCATAGAGGTTCGCATGGCAGCAGCAGCAGGGGGAGGGCTGGCGGGACTGGCGTTTGGAGGGCTGGGCGCAGCAGCACTGGGCGCGCCAGATGTTGCCATGTTGGCAGCCATGTGGGCGGGATCAATGGCTGGAGGGCTGCTGGGTGCCACGTCAGCAGAGGCGCCGGGGGAGGGGGAGGCGGGGGGAGGAATGGAACGATTGAGGGTGTCCGCAGGGGGCCTGGATCGGCTGTTGCAGGGAAACATGTTTCAAACTGCCAAGGTAAGTGTAGAAGTGGGGGTTGGGGAATGGAATTGGGGGGGGGGCGTGGGGGCTAGGGGCATGGGGAGGGATGGAGCAAGTGAGGAGGGTGTCTGCAGCCGGACTAGATCCGTTCCTGCAGGGAAATGAGTTTCAAACTGCTAAGCCACCCCCCCTCCCCCCTCCCTCCTCCCCCCTCTCTTCGGTTCCTTTGCCACCCCGCTACTTGCCCTGGCGCTCGTCCTTTGAGGCGCGTCTTCTTAGACGTTTCAGAGCTCGCCATTTGAGGTGCATCTATACTCTTTCTCCCTACGCCTCTCACAGGTGGCTGACCTAGTCGGTTCGTGCCGTTTTGAGGCGCCTCAAAACTGTTCCGCTGGTGCTCCTTCTGAGTTGACTCAACCTGGCCCCCGTCCTCCCACGTTTCCCTATTTTTACCCTGCAGCTCCCCGTTCCCCTACGCCTCTCACAAGTCTCAGACCTAGAGGGTTCTTTCCGCTGGCGCTCCTTCCTGCCTCTCTCCTCCTCCGACTCTGTCCACTCACTCATGCTCCTCCTCGCCATGCCCCACCGCCCTCAAGTGCGCATTCTCCTTACCCTCTGCTTGTCCCTTCCCCTGTCAACGCCTTCCCCACCTCACAGGTGTCAGACCTGGAGGGTTCTTTTCGTTGGCGCTCCTTCCTGCCTCTTTCCTCCTCCGATTCTGTCCACTCCCTCATGCTCGTTCCCTCACCCCCTTGTTCCCTCCACCCCTTCGCCTCCCCCACAGGTGTCAGATCTGGTGGGTTCCTTCCTGCCCCTCTCCTCCTCCGACTCAATCCTCTCCCTCATGCTCCTCCTCACCATGCCCCACCTCCCTCAAGTATTGCCCATTGTCACTCAGTCCTCTCTCTCTTTCACCTTCCCCTCTGCTTGTCCCTTCCCCCTTCAACACCATGCCTCCCGCACAGGTGTCGGATCTGGAGGGTTCTTTCCGTTGGCGCTCCTTCCTGCCTCTCTCCTCCTCCGACTCTGTCCTCTCACTCATGCTCCTCCTTGCCATGCCCCACCGCCCCCAAGTCCTCCCCATCGTCACCTACCCTCCTACCTCCTCCTCTCCCTTCTCCTCCTCCCCCTCCTCCGCCTCTCCCACCTCATCTCCCGAGCCTGCAGCTGCAGCTTCGTCAGCAGGCTCGGGGCCAGCCCCGGTGCCGAGCCTGTCTGCTCTGGTGTCGCAGGCAGATGTGGTGAATTTCCTGGCGGAGTGTGACGGGCAGCCATGGTTCGAATGGGTGGCGGGGAGGAGTCTGCAAGACATGGGGCTGCCAAGAATGGGTGCAGAATCGACTGTCAAGGTGAGACTGGTCAAGGCTCTTGAGTGTGAGAGGCAGCCGTGGTTTGAGTGGGTGGCGGGGAGGAGTCGTGGGGCTGCCAAGAATGGGCGCAGAATCGACTGTCAAGGTGAGACTGGGGGTCTTAGGGAAAGGGGTGGATTGCTGGTGCTCTATTGCTGTTCCATAATCGCAGAAAGTAAAAGGGAATGGAGATGTGTGCCAGCCGGGAATTGAACCCGGGTCTGCACCGAGCTGATGGCAGGGTGCTATTCTACCACTAGACCACTGGCACTGCTTCACGTTTCCGTCATTTACAATACAAAATCGGTACATTACTTGATGAACTTGGGGATGCATGTCCAACCTTGTGAAGTGAGGATTTCTGGAAACAATGGAAGAGTTGATGGTCAATGTGAGTGCATGGTTTCCAGGGTTAGATTCTGGGTGAAGACGAATAGAAGCGCATGGAGTAGTGGTTAAGAGGTAGGTATGGTTAGGCCAAACTGAGAGGACAATATCATATTTATGATAAACATGACTCACCGGTTGAGATCAGCTACTTCAGATCAGGTTGAGATTGAATGATGAAGGTGCATCCAGGGATATCAGTGTGCAAGTTTTGAAACTCATATGCTTGGGTAACGAGGAGAATACCATATTTGAGGTGACGTCTGCTGAAGGTACATGCTATGGCACGAGTAAGCACTGCAAGATAAACTGCAGTGTGTGATGTTTGTGTCGTTCAAAAGGATCAAGAACTTCTGTGCCAGCCGGGAATCGAACCCGGGTCTGCACCGCGCTAATGGCAGGGTGCTATTCTACCACTAGACCACTGGCACTGATCAGATGTCCTTGAGGATTCTTGCGTCGTAACCGACTGTCACACAAGGGCTGATACGCTGTGATTACTGCCTGTTGGTTGTTACGGCAACAGCTGAATGGGTAGGGAGGCTGAGTTTGAGGTCAATGCCACGATGAGTCACACACGACGGCACCAACCTCAGCACTTGCTTCTTGAGTCACTTTTGAGTGACTTCGAAAGTGCAAACCGTCCCAATCATAATGTGGTGGACTTTTAGGGACGGAGATGCATGGGGCTGCTGAGGAAGACGGCAGAACCAGTGGTTCAGGTGAGGAAGATGTGAGATGCAAAGGCTGACATGTGAGATGCAAAGGCTGACATGTGATGCAAAGGCTGACATGTGATGCAAAGGCTGACATAGGTGATAGGTGGGAGCAATTGAAGGGCCTAGGGACTTTGGATCATAGATGACAGAGAGTCGTGGCTTACGTGGAGGGAGAAGAGGCGTTTCATGGCGCCAAGGAAGGGACGGCAAAGGATGAGAAGGATGAGAGTGGAGTAAGTGGTCACTTAGGTGAGAGCATGGCTTTAAGGGTGGGTGTGCAGGTGGCATAGAAATGGGGCTGATAGAATAGAGTGTGGTATTTCGCTGTATGGAATGGTGGTTGGGCTGAGCCGAGCAGAGAAGAAAGATCCGGGAGATGAGGGTGTTGTGGGTGAGTTGGTGCATCCGGGAAATGGGGGTGTCATGTGTGAATTGGTGCATCTGGGAAATGGGGGTGTCATGTGTGAGTTGGTGCATCTGGGAAATGGGGGTGTCATGTGTGAGTTGGTGCATCTGGGAAATGGGGGTGTCATGTGTGAGTTGGTGCATCTGGGAAATGGGGGTGTCATGTGTGAGTTGGTGCATCTGGGAAATGGGGGTGTCATGTGTGAGTTGGTGCATGCTATGCAAGGTGTAATGCGGGTAGGTGTGCTGATGGTGAGACCAGCTGTGGGAAGGTGTGCTGATGGTGAGACCAGCTGTGGGAAGGTGTGCTGATGGTGAGACCAGCTGTGGGAAGGTGTGCTGATGGTGTGAGACCAGCTTTGGGAAGGTGTGCTGATGGTGAGACCAGCTGTGGGAAGGTGTGCTGATGGTGAGACCAGCTTTGGGAAGGGGTGCTGATGGTGAGACCAGCTGTGGGAAGGTGTGCTGATGGTGAGACCCAGGTTAGGGAAGGGGTGGTGATGGTGAGACCAGCTGTGGGAAGGTGTGCTGATGGTGAGACCAGCTGTGGGAAGGTGTGCTGATGGTGAGACCCAGGTTTGGGAAGGGGTGGTGATGGTGAGACCAGCTGTGGGAAGGTGTGCTGATGGTGAGACCAGCTGTGGGTAGGTGTGCTGATGGTGAGACCAGCTGTGGGAAGGTGTGCTGATGGTGAGACCAGCTGTGGGAAGGTGTGCTGATGGTGAGACCCAGGTTTGGGAAGGGGTGGTGATGGTGATTTGAAAGGGGACTGCTATCAAGCGGTTGGGGCTTGGGCTTCTTGGGCGACCAATGGGATGGTCCAGTTTGAGGCAGAAAAACGAATTCACAGTGTGCCAGTCGGGAATCGAACCCGGGTCTGCACCGTGCTGATGGCAGGGTGCTATTCTACCACTAGACCACTGGCACTAAGCAGTTGTTTCAATCATCGAGTGTTACATTTTGTTCTTCTAAACGGCTCGTCACTTAGGTGTATGCTTTCCTGAGTTTTTCCTCTTCTGTACGCGTTATGGTGGCAGGTGGAGGAGTCGGACCCGGTAATGGAGCCGTTCCGTCTGATGCTGCAGCATGACATTGGTGGAGTGCCCGTGGTGGCGCCAGGGACCAATCGCATCACGGCAAACGTCAGCGCCAGGGACGTTCTGCAGCTACTGACGTCACCACACCTTGCAGAGCAACACCACCTCAAGTACGGTGCCGCCGTTGTCTCCCCTGTTCCATAATATTGTGGCCATTTTGCAATTTCTGCACTTGTTTTCCTGTTGTTTCTGTAAATGTCACCAAGTTTTTTTCCTTGTATGATGCACAAAGCACAGCGCATTCACATGTTCTCCTCCTCTCGGTCACACCCCCAGCCACCCTTCCCCTCCCCCTCCCCCCTCCCCACCACCTGGCCACTCACAGTGGCAGAACTGGTGCACAAAGCTCAGCAACCTTGTTGCCCTACCCCCAACATTCCATTTTCTCCCCATGTTCTCCCCTCCTCTATCCCCCTCTCCTGCCCTCCTCCACCCCCCCACCACCAGGCCGCTCACAGTGGCAGATCTGGTGCACGATGCACAGAGGCCGCATCACGGCGCTGCTGACGTCATCTGGCCAATCATGGTGCCGCCGGTGACGTGCCGCCCGTCCACGCCACTGCGCGAGGTGATCCACACGTTCCGGGTGGCACGCGTGCACCGCATCTACGTCACACGGGAAGAGGGTGAAGGAGGAGAGCTGTTGGGAGTAGTGACGCTGCGGGATGCGATTGGGAGGTTTCTGGTGCGGCAGGAGGAGGAGGGGGAGGGGGAGGAGGCAAGCAAAAAGCGGGAAGAGGAGCCGGTGCCAGCCAGCACTGAGGTTGGTTCCGATGGTCTCAGCCTGTAGTGGGAGGGGATGGTGTTGCTGATAGTTGGGATGTCACTGCGCGAGGTTATCCACACATTCCGGGTGGCACGCGTGCACCGCATCTACGTCACAGCTGGTTTTTGAGAATTCTCAAAAACCACCACGCATTCCGGGTGGCACGCACTCACTGCATCTACGTCACACGGGAGGAAGGGGAAGGAGAGCTGGTAGGAGTGGTGATGCTGCGTGATGCGATTGGGAGGTTTTTGGTTTGGCAGGAGGAGGAGGAGGGGTTGAGTGGGTAGAGTGGGGAGAGTGGGGAGAAGGAGGGGCCACTTCCGACCAGCCCTGAGGTGGCTCAAATGGTCTCAGCCTGCTGCCGGTTTGGCTCTCTCACTGCAGGAGAAGGTCCATGTGTTGCTGCTGGCCTGGGTGTTGTCGTCCTGTTGCCGCATACAGTTGGGGGGGGTGGTGCCCAAGGTTGCAGGAGGCAACAGAGGAAAGAGAGGGGAGGAGAAGGAAGGGGAGGAATGGGAGGGAACAGAGATGGCTGGCAGTCAACCATTCTTTGTACATAGTTTTGGCATCCTTGGATTCTCCTAAGATGAAATCTGTCAGATTTTGTGTTTCCCTGAGATGATTCAGTACAATTTGAACATGCATGTGTTCTCCTACTTTGTGCCACGAATCTCATCCTATTCAGGGCGCGTTCCTACTGCCCCTTGTCAGGCACCTCTTTATCCACGCATTCCGGGTGGCACGCGCTCACCGCATCTACAGGGGTTTATCTACAGGGGTTTAAACACAACTTGTTCAGGAACTATACACAAGTTCGTTCACATCACATCATGGTGACATGATGAGAGCAACATAAGTAGCATCATAAGCAAAGCTACACATATATTAGAATACTACAGTCAAGTGTCTCTCATGCTAATGCAGCTTGCATAGAATAGAACGTAGTGATCCCTCTGTGACCCAGAACCAGCTCCCTTGCAGGAGAGAAAATGGATAACTCCTACGGAAAAACACAACTCCAGCCACCCAACCTGTCCACACTACGATTTCCACCCAGCCTCAAAATCCGCGTCTGCGTCCCGTCGCCTGCATCACTAGACCTACCAAACCTAAGCAAGTGACCAAGCTACATCGTGCAGATGGTAAATTGGAATCCTTCATACTGTTCCATGCGGTGGCATTTATGGGACTCTCAAGCCCCAGGACTCTTCCCTTTCACAACCGGTGCTCTTTTTGCAGCACCAGTCAAGACGCATGGGTTCAGACTGGGTTCGTTCAGCCTCGTTTCAGCCTGCTCACTTGACACTGTCCTGTGATGGAAACGGGGGCTTTTAGTGAGACCACCTATGGAAAAGACTGCATGGGCAGGAGCAGCAGCAGTATGAGCAGCAGCAGCACTCAGCAAGGCGCTCCATTCTGCCAACTGCCATGTAATTCACTCGTGGAGACCCTGTCAGCCGGACCTATCCTGTCATAGATTGCACCACTTGAACGGATCCAACGCTTCCCCTCTCTTGCGAACTGCAAGGGGGGAAGAGATGTAACAGAGGGGAAGGGAGAGAGAAGTGTGAGATGGCATAGATTGCACCACTTGAACGGATCCAATGCTTCCCCTCTCTTGCGGACTGCAGAGAGCGAGGAAGATGACAGAGGGGGAATAGTGGGGGATTTGTGTGAGTTGCCATGGGGTGGGGGGAAGAAAAGGATAGGTATGAGATGGAACAAGGGGGAAGGGATTGATATGTGTGAGTAGACAGAAGGCTAATAAGTGGGGGGTGCCATAAGACGGAGGGGGGGGGTGGGGGGCGAAGTGTGAGGTGCCACTAAGGGGGGATTAGTGTGAGGTGCCACAGGCGGGGGAAAAGGAGGGAGCGGAGAGGTGAGAGATGCCACAACGTGGGGCGAGGGGAGGTGTAAGAAGGCGGGGAAGAAAGTCCGGTGTATGAAGAGTTCGGTGCATGAAGTCCGGTGTATGAAGAGTTCGGTGCATGAAGTCCGGTGTATGAAGAGTTCGGTGCATGAAGTCCGGTGTATGAAGAGTTCGGTGCATGAAGTCCGGTGTATGAAGAGTTCGGTGCATGAAGTCCGGTGTATGAAGAGTTCGGTGCATGAAGTCCGGTGTATGAAGAGTTCGGTGCACGAAGTCCGGTGTATGAAGAGTTCGGTGCATGAAGTCCGGTGTATGAAGAGTTCGGTGCATGAAGTCCGGTGTATGAAGAGTTCGGTGCATGAAGTCCGGTGTATGAAGAGTTCGGTGCATGAAGTCCGGTGTATGAAGAGTTCGGTGCATGAAGTCCGGTGTATGAAGAGTTCGGTGCATGAAGTCCGATGTATGAAGAGTTCGGTGCATTAAGTCCGGTGTATGAAGAGTTCGGTGCATGAAGTCCGGTGTATGAAGAGTTCGGTGCATGAAGTCCGGTGTATGAAGAGTTCGGTGCATGAAGTCCGGTGTATGAAGAGTTCGGTGCATGAAGTCCGGTGTATGAAGAGTTCGGTGCATGAAGTCCGGTGTATGAAGAGTTCGGTGCATTAAGTCCGGTGTATGAAGAGTTCGGTGCATGAAGTCCGGTGTATGAAGAGTTCGGTGCATGAAGTCCGGTGTATGAAGAGTTCGGTGCATGAAGTCCGGTGGGAGCCAAAGGCACAAGAAAGCGAAGAAGGTGGGGGGTTTGGAAGGGGGAGGTTTGCGAATGTATACATGTGGGTGTGGGGCGACAACATGTGGGTGTGGGAGCGGGGGGGATGAGCGGAGAGAGACAATAGGACAGGGAAGAGAAGGGGAAAGGGAGGAGGAGAGGAAGGCAAATGGTGGCAGGTGGGGCCCTGTGGCTCATCCGGTTGCCCACGCACACACAAGTGAGGAAGAGAGAGTGGGATGGAGGGAGCAAGTCAACAGGAAGGTTGGTGGGTGGGGTAACAGGCCAATGGTGCGCTTACCTCCAAAGTGCAGGTGCAGGCCGGTGGCTCGCACTGTTGCTCCCAAACACAAGTGAGGACGGGAGGGTGGGAGTGTGAGAGGGTGAGTGCGGTGGGGGAACAACAGGCCAATGGTGCGCTTACCTTCAAAGTGCAAGTGCGGGCCAGTGGCTCGCCCGGTTGCTCCCACACACGCCACCTGCTGCCCCCTTGCCACTCGCTGCAATGGCCATGCGTACACACACATGCAATTGCACACACACACACGCAGACACAGATGGACACACAGATGGAGGAAGACTAATGGGTGAGAGGGTGGATGTGAAGGGGCAACTCTGTAGCTAGCAAGCTAGGAAGCAGGCCACTCAGAAATCCCCTTGAGGCAACCTTACTTAAGTCAGCCCCACTTGAAGCAGCCCCACCTCAACGCACACTGCAGCATGCCAGAAAATGACACGTCACTCACTGCGCATTCCTGCACAACCCCCCCTTCCCCCCATAGCTCTCTAAAGCCAGCACGCACCTGCCCAACCCGTGCGTTGATGATGCAGCAGTGGCCGTAACGAGTGGTGAAGCCGTTGTCGTGTGCTATCGTTACCAGCTTGCCGTACCTGGTGAGACAGGGGGAGGGACGGCAGGGAGGAGAGGAGAGGGAAAGCGAGGGAGGGAGGTGGGGGTGGAGTGAAGCTGTTGTCATGTGCTATCGTCACCAGCTTGCCGTACCTAGTGAGACAGGGGGAGGGACGGCAGGGAGGAGGAGAGGAGAGGGAAAGCGAGGGAGGGAGGTGGGGGTGGAGTGAAGCCGTTGTCATGTGCTATCGTCACCAGCTTGCCGTACCTGGTGAGACAGGGGGAGGGACGGCAGGCAGGTGGAGCAGAGAGGTGAGGGGAGAAGGAGGCGGACGAGGAGAGTCAGCTGGAGGATTTGACATGAGCTACCATCACCAGCTTGCCATACCAGGGAGACGAGAGAACATGGAACATGGGTAAGGGGGGGTGAGGCGGTGGAGAATGTCATATGCTACCATCATATGATACCATCATTAGCTTGTCACAGATGGAGAGAGGGGCATGTGAGGTGAGGGTGATGGTTATGAAGGTGTTGTCACCCTCCCCCCCCCTACCCTCCCCCCCCACACACACACAGCATGCGCACGTGCACACACACACGCTCACATGCACACACACACGCTCACATGCACACAAACACTCTCACACACTCACCCTCCGCTCCAGCCTGCAAACGTCACCACGCCCTTGTCTGACGCCAGCACTGGCGCCCCAAACTCCGCTGCTAGATCCACGCCCTGTGGGGAGGGAGGTGGGAGGGATGGAGAGAGGAGGCGGATGAAAAAGAAGTGAATGAAACGCCACTGCAAAGCAGGATGAGGGTTGTGGTGGGGATGGGTTTGACGAGTGCTTTCATTTTCATCAGACTGGAAGACGAGAGAATCAGGAGATTCAGGAGACAAGGGGATGAGAGAGGAGGAGCGGGAACTGATGGAAGAGGCGAAACTGAAACAAAAAGGGAAATGAGGAGGAGAGAATGGGGATGAGGGGTGGGGGTTGGGAGGGAATGGGGATGAGGGCGTACCTCATGGAAGGATCCCCATCGCCAGCCAAAGGGACTGCTGACGAAGCTGGTGGAGGGAGGCGGTTGAAGCAATTGGGGGTTGGAGGGAGAAGGGGGAAAGGGGGGAGAGGGGGGGGGGGGGGGGGGGGGGGGGGGGGGGGGGGGGGGGGGGGGGGGGGGGGGGGGGGGGGGGGGGGGGGGGGGGGGGGGGGGGGGAGGGAGGAGGGTTGGCGAGTTAAATGGGAGAGAGGGAGATAGAGGAGCAAGACTAACAAACATATTGCCTACAAATAGATTGCAACTATGTCGAACGGATCGGTGCTACAAGGTTGGGCACCAAGTAGGGCAGCAACAGCAGGACTATCACGTACAGAAAAACACCAGTACACGCACATACATAAACCTGCCAAACCTTGAACCACCCCTTTCACAACTCTGTCCCTCCTCTCCAAACCCTCTTCCCCAACCCCTCCCCTCCCCCTTCTCCCGCCACAAGAACACACCCGTCCACCAGGTGCCTTTTGAATCGGTT